CAGGTCTCACTTTGGTGAGAGGCTGTGGGTAGCGCTTTCCATACCACAGCAAACCTCCAGGGGGCGCCCCTGGCCTCACTCTACACTGCACCCTGGCGGCCCTGGCTTGTGGGTTTCCCCACGTATGTAATTCTTATCCTTGAGGCCCAGGCTGTTTTGTTTTCTTATTTTTTAAGATTTTATTTATTTATTTTTAGAGAGAGGGAGAGGGATGGAGAAAGACAGGGAGAGAAACATAGATGTGTGAGAGAAACATTGATTGGTTGCCTCTCATACGGGCCCCCACCAGGGACGAAATCCTTCATGTGCCCTGGCCGGGAATCGAACTAGCAGCTTTTTGTTTTGTGGTGTGATGCCCCACCCACTGAGCCACACCAGCCAGGGCGAGGCCCAGGTTTTAACGTAGCAATAATATTACGTTTTAACCAAGGCTCCTGGCCACAAGCCCCCCGCCCCCCAGCGGTGGGTGAGGGGTGGCTGGGACCATGGGTGGTGACAGGGGCCCTTCTGCACCAGTGCTGGGAGAACCTGGTGGGGGAGGAGCTGTACAAGCTGAGCGTCTTCAACTTCCTGCTCACGGTGGCCTTCACCTTCCTCGTCAGTCTGCCTCGGAGGTGAGCCCTCACCCTGTGGGGACCCCCTGGGGTGACCCGGCGCCTCTGGGACAGCCAGTGGCTGCAGCCAAGGGTGGGTGGTTCTACATGCGTGTGTCCCTGTGACTGAGTGTGGGACGGCCCGTCGCCGTGGCCTTGGTGGATGTGGTCCACAGGCCCCTCCCCGGCAGTGACCCCTGAACCCTCCCTGTGCCCAGGCTGCTGGTGGAGCGATTCTCAGGCCGGTTCTGGGCCTGGTTGGACCGGGAGGAGTTCCTGGTGCCCAAGAACGTGCTGGACATCGTGGCGGGGCAGACGGTCACCTGGATGGGCCTCTTCTTCTGCCCCCTGCTGCCCCTGCTCAACAGCATCTTCATATTCCTTACCTTCTACATCAAGAAGGTGCGGGCTCGCAGGCTGGGAGGGAGCAGGGCTCCCCTGGCGGCCCCTGGAGGGGGCTCACGTCTCATCTGTGCCCCCCATGCCCCCTGCCCCGGGCCTGACTCCTGGGTGCTGCTGACAGACCCATCGCTGTCACTTGCTCCCCAGTACAACCTCCTGAGGAACTCCAAGGTGTCCCCTCGGCGATTCACAGCCTCTAGCTCCACCTTCTTCTTCCAGCTGGTGCTCATCCTGGGCCTGCTTCTGGCCACCGTGCCCTTGGGCTATGTGGTCAGCAGGTGAGGAGAGCGGAGGGGCTGAGGCTGAGGGACGGGCCGGCTGCTCCTCTCTGGGGCCCTGACCACCACCCCCCTCCGGCTGTCTCTCCACAGCATCCACTCCTCCTGGGACTGCGGCCTCTTCGCCAACTACTCGGCCCCCTGGCAGGTGGTCCCAGAGCTGGTGGCCCTCCAGCTGCCACCCCTTGGCCAGCAAGCCCTCCACTACCTGGGCTCCCACGCCTTCAGCTTTCCCCTCCTCATCCTGCTCAGGTGTGTCTCAGGAGGGGGGCAAAGGGAGGGTGTACCGAGGAGTGGGGGTCCTTCCCAGGGCACTGCCAGCCAGTCTCATGGGATCCCAGAGCCAGACGAGGGGAGCCCAGGGAGGCGGACCCCAGAAATACGGAGCATAGGGCTCAAGACAGGGGCCTGGGGGTTCGCCCTGTGCCCACGAGCAGCCCCCTGGGGGCCTCCCCTGACCACCGGGGAGCCACAGGGCCTGGTGCACGCGCTGAAAACCTGCCGTCCTTGTGGTCGTTCAGAGGAGAGGGGCTGGACACAGGTGGGAGGAGGGCGGGGCAAAGAGAGGACCCCAGGAGGCGGTTTTGAGAGACTTGGGAGGGGAGGGAGGAAGCAGGGGGTGATGAACTTGGATCCCCCTCTATCCAAAGCCTTGTCCTGACCGTGTGCGTCTCCCAGTCTCAGGCCAAGGCGAGAGCCATCCAGGGGCTCCGAAAGCAGCTGGTGTGGGTGAGTGTCCGCTGGCCGGGGAGAGGCCACCCACCGCGGGTGAGCCATTGTCCGGGAAGTGTGGTCTCAGGCTGGGAATAGAAGCGAGGAGGGTGGAGCGGGGCGGGCTAGGCGTGGCCTCAAGCTAGGAGCCAGACAAAGCGATGTGGCCTTAAATTTGAAGACCACGGCTTAACGGGAGAGTGGCTGAGGGCGGGGCCGGGACCCTGTTTGAGGTTCTTGGGCGGGAACGGCACTTTACGGGGCGTGGCCGCTTGGGAGGTAGGTCTGAGGACTTAGTCCCTTGGGGGGCGGGGCTTGCGCCGGGGCGGGGCCTCAAGCGGGATGCGGGCCACGCCCCGGATCAGCTGCCGGGAAGCTGCCCCGGCCCAGGCCTGGCCTACCGGAGGGGGCGTTGCGGCTCGTAACCGGCCGGGCGCTCCCTTACAGCAAGTCCAGGAGAAGTGGCACCTGGTGGAGGACCTGTCGCGGCTGCTGCCAGAGCCGGACCTCGGTGACTCTCTGGGGCCTGAGTCCCCTCTCTCTCGATCTTCGCGCCTGCGATCCTTCTGCCCCGGTTTCCCGTGCCCCGGCTCCCCGGGCTCTCCGGGCCCCAGGTCCCCCAGACCCTCACCCTCCCGCGGGTTCTTCCCATAGATTCCTCTTCCTAGCAGGGCCGAGGCCCGACGTGCAGCCCTTAGCTCGACCCCAGAGTACCCCTTGCCCCACGCTCCTGCCCCCTGTGACCACGGCCTCCCAGTGGGCGCCCCAAAGTGGGTTCACACACCCAAGGGCAGCATGAAGACAAAATTTGTGTTAGTAGTTTATACTTTCATTTCTTTAAATTTTCTGTTTTGTTGCCTTATAATGTCCATAATGTATTAGTATGAGAACCTATAAATACAGTTTATAAATATATATCGGTCGGGTGTGCTGCTGTAAAATTAAAGGGTCCCCACCTGTGGGGAGGGACTACCAGGCCACAGAGCAGACCCACGCCCGGTCGTGCTGACATGCACGGCCCCACACTGCCTCCTGCTGCCCCTTCTTCAGCCTTGAGGGAGGCAAGACCCAGAGAGGTGCCATCAGCTAGGGGCGCAGCGCGGGTGGGAACCCCAGCACCCAGTTCCCAAGCCGCATGGCACCGGCATGGGCCCTAACAGCCATTCTCCACCCTGATCCCAGGGGCTTACCGGACTCAGCTGAATCAGTAGCAGGGGCTGAAGGCAGCCCCTCCCTCGCAGGACTCCTCACGGCCCTTTATTCTAACTCGGCAACCCCATGTCAGCAAAGGGCCACCCCTCAGGAGCTGGAACCAGAGCCCTGGCCATGCCCTCTGCAGAACCTGTCCTCCCAACTTCCCTGTGTGCCCCTGTTGAGCCCCCCCGCCCCCAGGAATGGTGAGGGCGGGGCTACGCCACCAGGGCCTGGAGGCAGCGGGACTGGGGTGCCACCGCGGCTGGGTTTGTGGTCCCTGAGCCTGCTGGAGCTTCCTTCTTAAAGCCTGAGGCTGCAGCGGCTCTAAATCCACGGACTTCAGCCTGGGAGAGCGCCTGAGAAGCGGGCTCTGGCCAGCAACTCTGATGGGATCCATCCAGGCAGAGCCAGCAGCCAGGGATCGGCTTTCTAAAGCCTGCCCCGGATTCACCGCAGCCAAGGCTGAGAGCTGCTGGTCCAAATGACCATGGCGGGGGAAGGGGGGTCAGGACAAACCCCAGACCTGCTTGGAAAGCCCCCACCTCCACTAGGGGCCCAGCGCCTGCCTGGATCCCAGTGGGACTGTCCAGCGCCCTCAGGCCAGCAGCTTCACATGGCCACTGAAGGCTCAGCTGATTAGGTCCTCCTGTCCCTGTCCCCTCGCACTCACCCGGCATCATAAGACCCATCAGTCTTGTCAACACACGCTGGGTCCTGTCCCAAGGCTGGCAACGAGCCTACGAGGGAAACAGCTCTGGGCTCAGGCAAGGAAGGGCCACCGCCTGGCCCACAGGGAAGGGACACCTGTGAATTCGAAGCTTAGGGCAAAAGCGGAGTTCTGGGGCTCCCATCCAGCAGCTTCAGCATTACCTGGGAACTTGTCAGAAATGCAAATTCTCAGGCCCGCTGTGGCCTCCTGAATGAGAACCTTTAAGGGGGTGGGGGTGGCCAGCAGGTAGTCCCTGGGGTGGCAGCGGCCCTGAAGGGGGAGAAGCACTGCATGAACCATCAGCATCCTTGCCCCGGCCCCTTTATGCGCCTCCAGCAAACATTCACGGAGGGCCAGCCGGGCGCCAGGCCGGCCTCCCTGGGAGACAGCCGACCCTGGGCCTCAGCCACCTGCCGGTGTCTGTGAGGGTTTAATAAGCAGTCACTTACACAGTGTCCAGATGGGTGCCTGGCCCTCCCTCGGAGCGTGGTCCCTCCCCACTCTGAGCTCAAGGGCGCTGCTTGAACGCAGCACCTGCTCGAACACACTACTGGGCTAGCCAGGTGCCTCACCTGGTCTGAGGTTAAATTTGGGGGCTGAGCCCAGCACCGGCCACCTAACAGGTGCCCAGCAGGTAGTCATGAGTGAACCAGCGTGAGATGGGTGGAAGGAGCCTCCCCTGCCTTCCCCTCTAATGGGGGTCCAGCCCTCCAGCGTGTATGTCAAACCCACCCCCACACCGTGTGGGGCTTCAGAAGGACCCTTGTGGTTACACTGGGTGCACCCCAGTAATCTAGGATAACCCCGCTAGCTCAAACTCATCATATAAACAAACCGAAGTCCTCCTTACCAGGTGACATGCGCACTCCAGGGGACACCTGCCCACCCAGCAAGCCCAGGGGCCCGCAGCCCAGCAGTGGCGGTGGAGTGCAGCCCCTCTGGGCTCCGAGGCCCGGGCCCCTCCTGATTCCCTGCAGGGTGTGGCCGAGGCTGCTCCTCTGGGCCCAGCCCCAGGTGCTGAGGCCTCGGGGTTATCTCCCCACCGCAGGCACCTCCCGGGGAGCACCCTGGGAGTCTGGGCCGGGGGGGGGGGGGGGGGAGGTAGCCCTGGACCGAGGGAGCTTTATTGTCCCCACGCAGACAGACGGCACCAACAAAGGCATGAGGCTCCTGCTGCTGCTCTGTGCGGCCGCGCTGGGTGAGCTCGCGGGGGATGCCTTGCGAGGGGGTTGCTGTGTTCAGGGTGTGGGGTGCTGGGGGCGCAGGGGTGTGGGGCCCAAAGATATGGACCCCTCCGGAAACACGGGACAGGAGGGACGGAGCTGGGCTGCAGTCTCGGTCCGGCCCGGCAGCATGCGTGGCCCGGCCACTGCTTCTCCTTTTGAGGCCCCACTGTTTGCCCATCTGCAAAATGGGCTGATGCCACAAAATGTGGGCTTGAAAGGGCTTTTGTGAGTGAAGAGCCCCGGCGCGTCCTGGGCCTCCCACCCAGCCTCAGGAGGAGGCTCTCTGGGTGACCACAGCCCCCCCACCTGACCCAGGAGGGGCTCCTCTCACCACCCTCTGCACCCCCTCTCTTACAGCTCCCAACAGCTTCTCCACGGAGCAGGAGACAGGTGAGCAGCCTGGTAGCCGGAGGGAGGGGCCCCCACCCGAAGCAGACCCTTGGCTGGGGGGAGGTTGCGGCCTGTGGGGGTGTCTGCTGATGGACAATTGGAGGATTCTACCCCCAGCCCTGCAGGGCCCTGGGGGAGTGGAAAGGAGAAGGCTGGGGGGTGCACTCCTGGGGACTTAGGGCACTGAAAGTGCTTGGCTTCCCGTTGGGCTGTGTGTGCTGGGGGCCTGCTGGTGAAGGGGGTGGGCTGGCGTGTTCCTGGACAGGTGTGTCCCAGTCACTCTGCGCCAGGTGCCCGACCTGGAGCAGCAGCCCTCGGCAAGCCCACAGCTCTGCCGAGTGGGTGTGGCCCCAGGAAGGGCTGGGGGCATTCAGGTGGGGCGCTGTGGGCCAAGATGGGAGCAGTGAGCCAGTGGGGAAGTCCAGGCTCGCCCCGCAGTGTGGCAGAGGAGAGACCACCTCCCTTGCGCAGGCTCAGGGCCCCCTCTTCGAGATCTGGGGGGCCCAGCGTCAGGGGAGGGGACAGTCTTGGTCCAGCCATCTCCTGCATCCGTTTCTAGCCCTTTGACCCTCGTTGCCGGTAGAGGTCATGGGTCGCTTCCTTCTCTGCTGGCCTCCAGGGCAGGGGAGCTGCTTGGCCTCTGGGTCAGGCCACGGGGTCTGGGAGCCGCACCTGCCCCTCAGGGCGGGTCTCAACAGACGGCAGCACAAGACCCACTGTCATTTCCTCATTTGCTCTAAAAACAAACATTGTGGTGCTTTTTTGCTAAAAGAGAAAGAGAGAGAGAGCGGGCCTAGCTCCTCCCTCTCAGTCCCTTGACTCGGCTCACTCTCTCCCAGCAAGTCCTGCTACCTGAAGTCCTGAGAGACCGACTGGTGAACCCTTCCTCCTTTCCTGCCCCCTCTCCCTCTCCCTGAGCGCACTGGAGCTGAGAGTGTCTGCGTGGCCCCAGGCCCTTCTCAGGCCGCAGGATGAGCACCTCAGGGACAAAAGTGAAACAACGGCCCCTGCCCTTGGGTGGTTTCCATTACGGTGGGGACAGGGGAGCAGGTGATATAACATGATTGAGCACACTCCGCAGTGTGCCAGGATGTCATTGGTCCTAGAGAAAAGCAAGCGACAGGCAGGAAGGGAACCCACGTGCTGAAGTGGGGAGGGAGGGCGGTATTTACTGGGAAGTTCGCACTGACAAAGGGACACCCAAGCAAAGACAGGCAGAGCAGGACGTGCCTGGACATGGGCCATGTGGCGGGGCACAGGAAGGGCGGGGAGGTCAGAGGGGTGGGGAGGGCTGGGGAGGAGGGGCCCAGCTGTGGGAGGGTTTGCACAGACACAGGTCTGAGTGAGGCTTCAGGGGTCCTTTCAGCTGCTGTGTTGAAAAGAGACAGGTGGGGACCCAGGGTACAACCCCAGAGAGCCATCAGGCTGTCCCCAGATCCAGAGGACAGGTGGCTGACGACAGGGAGGAATGGCCAGGAGACAGTCTGAAGGTCAGACCAGCCGCACTGCTGGTGGGTGGGTAAAGGGGGAGCGTGGGAGAGCGCCCCACGGCTGTGTCCTGAGCCCGGGCAGGGACCGGCTGCGATGCAGCCTCCCAGTGGAAGCGGCATCATCAGAGTGGAAAGTGGGGCAAAGGACACTGGATGTTCAGGAGCCGAAGAGCCAAGAGGTTGCAAAAGTCATGTCCGTGTGATTCGGCATTCTCAAGAACAGCAGCAAGCGCAGAATGGGGAGTTCAGTCCTGCACCGCTGCACCTTCCTGAGGCCATCCCATAGGGCAAGCGTCCCAGAGTGCGCAGACACACCCGCGTGGCACGGCCACTGCACACCTGGGCGGCGGAGCAGCGCCCGCGGGCCCGGCAGCAGGCTGGCACAGCAGACCCAGCACTCATGGCAGGACAGTAGACTGGGCAGGCGCGGGACTGACGCGCAGCCAGGTGGCGGCCTGACAGCGAACTTTATTTCCAGAAGCAGAAAGAGTGCATGAGAAAAGAGCGGTGAGAAGGTGCAGCACAGCGAACACATAAATGGGTGACATGTCGTTTGTCATAGTTATCCAGCATCATACACGGCACGTGACTGTCCCTGCCGCCCTTTCCCACGGCTGGCAGCGCAGCGGGTCTGTGGACACCGGCGCCCCCGCGAGGCCAGGCGTCGTGCAGTGGCATGGAGACAGCTCCCATGTCACCAGGTGGTGGGAACCTTCCTGCTCCAGTGCACCCTTATGGGGCCACCTGCTGTATATGGTCTGTCATTGACCGCAGGGACCTGCTGTGGCCCATGACTGCAGGAACCGCGGGCACGGACCTCCAAGGTCATTGTAACCCAGAGGGTCCCCTGGGGGATGTCTGAAGACATGAGGTTCAAGGCTGGTGTTTAGGAAGCGAGGAGGGAGAATGGTCCGGAAATACCAGGAGGAGGCCGGGCCCGTTGTCCAAGGTCACGGCAAGGTAGGCTGTGGTGCCCAGCGCCCGAGACAGCACAGGGTGGGCAGGGCGCTGAGATGGGGTGGCTCCGGCTGGGCGTGGGAGCTGAGTGGAGGGTGCGGGCAGAGGGCCAGCCGAGCCTGCGCTCCGGGGGCAGGGGGCGCAGTGAGGAGGGTGGGGCGGGCTGGGAGGTGGGACAGGAAATAGGGCAGGAGGACCAGGGTGAGCTGGGGGCCAGGGGGTCCCGGTGGGGCTGCCGCGACCGTCAGACAGTGTTCTCGCTCAGGCGAACCTCGATGAAAGGGCGCCAAGAGCGCGCGTGGTATTTCCGAGCGAGGTTCTGGGCCGTTCCACCAGAGTCCTGCGGAGGGAGGCCGTCTGGGCGGCCGTTAACAAAGCGCCACACAGTGGGTGGTTAAACACAACAGGCGTGGATTCTCTCCCTGTTCGGGCGGCCAGAAGCCGCCAAAAATCAAGGTGTCGGTGGGGTTAGTTCACTCCAGAGCCCCTGAGCGGACACTGCCAGGCTGCTGTCCAGCCTTGGTGGGCACCGGCGACTAGTGACCCCATCCCTCCAACCTCTGCGTCCATCTTCACAGACCCTGTTCGCGCATGCGCATGTGCGTATCTCATCAGGCCCCGCCCAACCCAGTATGCATTATTGGGGTACATCAGCAAAGAAGGCATTTTCAACTAAGGCCCTATTCACAGGCCCCGCTGGTTGGGGCTTGAATGCATCTTTCTGAAGCAGTCCACTCCGCCCTGAGCAGGCGGGCTGCCCTTTGCAAATCAGACCCCCGGGTCCAGCTCAAGGCCTCACAGGATGGAGCCCCGGGCTTGGGACTGCAATCTCCAAGCTCCTGTTGATAACAGAGACCAGTGTGTGGAGAGGGGTGCCCCCAGGGCCCTCTGGCCCAGGCTGGGCCGCCTCTCCAGGGCCCTGGCCCGGAGAGAGCTCTGCTGCCGTAACTTCTTTCTTTGGCAGCAGGGGGAGGCTCTGCCCAGCCGCCCTCCAGCCCAGCCTCCCCCAGCTCAGCTGCTAGTCCCAAGGGTGGCCTTGTCGTCACACCATGAAATTCTCAGTGTGCCATCTGGTCGTTCAAATGTTCTGACACCCTTGATGAATTTTCAATTAAATGCCAAATCACTCGTTAGTGGTAGCTGGATGGATACGCTAAATAATCCACAGGGGAAAAACCCACAGGGGTCTGGTGAGACTCAAAAGGGAGCGCGCCCACGCACAGGATATGAAAAGACAGTCTGTGAGTGTATGTAAATCAAGCTTCTATTAATGGCCATCGAAATGGAAATGAAGGTGGCTAGCTTTTTCTTTTCACTTTTATAAGTCAAATTCGGCTCCCTCCCTCTTTGTTGGGAACTCAAATACGAGCGGGTTGGTCTCCGCCTCCGATGCCCACCTCCCCCGTGGAGGAGGGTCTGGCATGGAGCAGCTTGGGGCAGGGGCAGGGAGCGGGCCATTGGCCCCAGAGTCCGGCTGGTGAACAGTTAGTAGCAATTTGCAAAATGGTGCCCCCGAGAGTAGCTTCAACTTTAGATTCAGCTTTGCTTGCTTCAACGCCAAGATTCTGCACGAGAAACTTGTCCCCTCAAAGATGGCAGTTCTCACAAAGTTCAGTGAGAGGCACAGATGAGAAAGAATCTGTGGGTGACTGTGGCCCTGGGCAAGGCCCAAAAGCTGCCACAAGCTGCCAGCCAGCACCAGTCGCCCAGCATCACTGGTAATGACTCTGGAGCCGGAGAATCTGTCACAGTGACCATCCCGGGCACCGTGGGACACGGAGTGCCCTCCCCGGCCTCTTCCCCACTAGATGCCAAGAGCACCCTCCACTTGGGACACCAAAAATGTCTGCAGACTCGAGGTCCCTGGAGACGACATGGCCCTGGGGGAGCACCACTGGTCTGGAGAAAAACAGGGTCAGTGCTGGGAAACGTGGGGTCCCAGGGACACGCCCCAGGAGACCGCTGCACTCCAGCTCCAGTGCGGTCCTCGGAGAGCAGCGTGCTGACCGCAGGGCGCTTCTAAAGCCAGTGCGCCCAGCAGGCGCAGAGGGCGCATGAGGCTGTGACGCAGGACACTTCCCTCCACCCCGCCCAAGCGCTGCCCCTGCACTAGTCTTGAAAACGTACCATTATGAATATGCCCCTCCCCGCCCTGACCAGCGTGGCGCAGCGGGCTGGGCGTCATCCCAGGAAGTGAAAGGTTGCTGGTTCGATTTCCGGTCAGGGAGCACGTCTGGGTTTCCAGTTCCGTTCCCAGTTGGGGTGTGCGAGAGTCCCAGGGGCGATCTTTCTCCCACCGGCGTTTCTCTCTCCTCCCTTTCCCTCTGTCTAAAGATAAATTTGAAAAAACTTTTTGGAAAAAAAAAAGAAGACTATGCCCCCCCTCTCCCGAAGGCAGCTTTGTTTAAACCCGACAGTGGACACGCCCCAGATGACCCCGGGCGGCCTGTTGTCTGCATCTGCATGGACTCCGGGGCCGCTGACAAAGCAGAAAGAAAGCTACCTCTCCGCAGAGAGGTGGGCTAGGTGGGCGCCCACCTGCCAGGGCACCAAGGGGCTCTTGATCCGGGTCTGCGGAGGAGAGGCCCTGAGCACTGTGAGCGGGCAACTCCTTCTGAAGTCCCGCCCCCGAGGTGGCGTCTTTCTCTCTGGTCCCCTTCCATGCTGTCCCCTTCTGTCCCATAACAGCCCTGGTGGGTCTGCTCGTGCCCCCTGGCCCCTGGCCCTGACTCTCCCTTGAAACCAGACGTACACCTCTCAGGGAGCCGGGCCTGGCCGCTGCCCCTGCGTCCCAGGCCCGCGGTGGGCCCAACACGAGGAACTTCTGAGGTGTGAGAAGACCGGTGTCCGAGTTCCCCTGGCCACTGCCCAGGCTCAGGCCCCCCGTGGCGCCAGTCCCTGGGGGGGGGGGGCGTCCGCTTTGTCCCTCACTCGTCCCTATCCCTGTAACCGAACCCCCAGCTCAGTGCATCCTCAGGGAATGCAGGGACACACGGAGCAAGGCGCCAACATCACCAAAGGAGGTCCCTGCACCGAGGACTTGGGCCGCACCTTGGACATTCCCTGGACCGCGACCACCTTGTCGTCGAAGTGAATCGTGCAGTGACAAGTGGTAAATCTCTGGTCTCCTACCATGGGCCGGGGCACAGTGACCGGCCGGAGGGACGCACAGGTCCGGCAGCGCAGGCCCGACGGGACGGGGGTCCAGGGTCAGCCCTCCGAACCCGTGCTCCCCGCCCCTCCAGGCTTCCTACTCCGGGTCTGATTCCATTTCACCTTTATAGTAAAACCTCTGGTTTCTTTTTCTTTTTTTTAATTGAGGCGAAATTCACGTGACAAATTTGGGCATTTTAAACTGATAATTCAGCGACGTTTAGTGCGTTCACAGCACCGAGCAGCTACCCCTCTGCGCAGGTCCAAACACTCCCATCGCCGCACAAGGAAACCGGACAGCTCGGCAGTTGTTCCCCAGCCCGCCCCGCCCCCAACCCCACCGACCGCCTCCGCCTTCTGCTCTGGATTTTCCCACTCCGGACATTTCACACCAATGCAATCGATCATACAGTATGTCACCTTTTGTGCCTCCCGTCACTAGCATCACGTCCTCCAGGTTCCTCCAGATTGCAAGGGTGTCTGCCCTCCTCTCTTTTTCGCTGCAAGCGCCGTGCCCTTGTGCGCATGAGCCGTTCTTTGTGTACGCGTCCATCCGCGGGTGGACCAGGACCTGGAAGCAGCCGCCACCGCCTGGCGGCTGTGAGCCGTGCTGCTGGGCACACGTGCGCGCATGCGCCTGTTCCAGGCCCTGTTTTCAGTTCTGTCGGCGAATATTTAGGCCTGGGAGGGCTGGGTCACGGTGATGCCTTGTTTAAGTTTTTGAAAAACCGTCGCACCAGCCTTTTCTTACCGTGCTTGATAAATGTTGGGTTTCGTCCCTCCCCCTCTGTGTCACCTCCCAGAAGTCCTCCCCGAGGTCTCCATTGCCTACAGAGTCCTGGAGGTCTTCCCCCGAGGGCGGCGAGTGCTGATAACCTGCCACTCACCCAGTGTGCCCCCGCCCATCACCTACTCCCTCTGGGGGAGCCAGAACATTCAAGTGGCCAAGAAGGTGGTGAACACCCGCGACCCGGCCTCCTTCAGCGTCAACGTCACGCTCAAGTCCAGGCCAGACCTGCTCACCTACACCTGCCAGGGGGCCACCACCTGGGGCGCGCACATGGCCAGTGCCAAGCTGCAGCTGTACTGGGAGCTGTGGGCCGGTGAGTTCATGGGCACTGGGATGGGGCAGGTGGCGCCCAAGGTCTGGAAGAGAAACAAAGTTCCTGGGGGTGAGAAATGTGGGGGCTGGGGCCAGAAGGTCGGGACAAAGTAGGCCTCCAGGCCTCAAGGGCCACTCTCAGTCCCTTGGGGCCTGGCCTAGGCCGGTGTCCATCGGGCTGGGCCCCCAGGGTGCTGTGCTCTGGCCTGGCTGGGCCCTGAGGGGATTTCGAGGACAGTGAAAAGGTGTCCTGGGGGCTCTGGCCTCAGGCTGGCAAAGTGGGCACATTCCGCGCTTCATCTGGTTGAATCTTGCCGGCAGCTGAGGTCACCCAGCCTCTGAGAGGAAGCTAAAGCTCTTGGAGATTGAGGCACTTATTCTAGCCGCCCAGCTGGCAAGTGGCTACGGCCGGTTTCAAACCCCGCAGTGTGGCACTCCAAAGCCTGTGTTCTTCCCATTCTGACCCTGATCTTAACTCAGGGGTCCTTCCCGGTGGGGGGCACAGGGTGGAAGCCGAGAGGTGTTGCCCACCCAGTGCTGGGACTGGCACCCAGGTGGAGACAGCCTGGGGAGGAGAGCCCTGAGTCTGCAGCACCACAGGTCCAGGGTTCAAATCCCCACACTTCCAGGCTGTGGGTTCTTAGGCAAGTCACTCAACCTCTCTGAGCCTCTGAGCCTGGTTGCTTTGCAAAACAAAGAGAGTAGTTCCTGCTGCACGGTTAGGGTAGAAAGGAGCCGAAGGAAGTTCTTGGTAGGTGCTAAGCACTGGACAAGGCATCGTGGCTGTCACTCACGCAAAGGCTGTTCAGAGCATCAGGCTGCAGGCCCCGGGCATTCTAGACTCTTCCAAGTGGCAGGTCTTGTCCTTCAGGAGCATGCGTGTTTCAGCAGAAGGGTCAAGGCTGAAGGAATACAAGCAGGATTGACAGATACATTTTGCATAGGATATACTCATACTAAACTATTATTCCTTGTTGACATGAAACTCAAATTTAACTGGGCAGCTTGTATTTTGACTTGTTCACACTGGCAACCCAGAACATACTGCACGAGAAAAAAAAACCAAAGGAGAATGTGTGCGGTATACACTGCAAGTGGGGAAGGCGCCCAGACATGACGCAGAGGGAGTAATCCGGAAGGCTGCCTGGAGGAGGCACAATTATAGTTAGACCTCCAGGCTCATTTTTTCATAACAAGGGCACTTGCTGGGAAGAGGGTGTTCAAGTCTCCTAGCCATGCCTGCGCTTCCTGTCCCACCCTGCTAGAGCCTGTGTCCCAGCTGAAAGCCGACTTCAACGTGCTGGACGAAGGGGCAGGCCCGAGGGCAGAGGTGTCCTGCCGGGCGTCCTCGGGCAGCCCCCCCATCACCTACCACCTGGTCGGGAAGGACGGGCACATCCACATGCAGCAGACGCCACACCATGGGCAGCCTGCCAACTTTTCCTTCCCGCTGACCCAGGCGTCCTACTGGTACCAGTGCCAGGCCAAAAATGACATCAGTGTCCAGAGCAGCCCCTTCATCCTGGTGCCCCCAGGTGAGAGGGCCCCTTGGTTTCCGGAGGGGCAGCTGGCACTTTTGGACAGGTGGGTGGGAGGTGCCGAGAGCAGGGAAGGGCATCGGGAAGCAGCCGCGCCTACCCTGGCCCTACCTGCCTCCCACACAGGACAGCTGCCCAAGGGACCCACCTTCGTGCTGGCCGCCAGTCTCACCGCCATCACAGCTATCACCTCCGGGATGCTGGGCTGGACCGCGTGGACCAGGTCGGCTGTGGGTGCTGGCAGCGGGGGAGGGGTGAGAAGCAGGGGAAGCCTGAGTGGACCAGCAGAGGACCTCGCTGCAGAGCAGAGGGTGCTGGGTCTGTAGGGCGGGGCCACCACCAGGGCGAAGAAAGGGCCACATCGCTTGTGCATGACTTGCAGAGGTTTATGAAGGACTCACTATGGGCCACATGCCTGCTGAGGGCTTGCTGATTTGGGTGGCTTTATGTGACCCTGACCACTGGTCGCTGCTGTCCTGCCTTCAATGCAGTCAGCTGGCCTCTGGGCGGGGCACTCTCCCGTGTTCCTTATGGGTTTGGGCAGGGACACTGGCATGGGGACAGGCCTCCTGGGACGAGGGTGGGTCAGGGGCTTCTGCCCTGCATGGGGCCCACACAGGTCACTGCTCCCCAGCTGGTGACAGGAGGCAGGAGTCCGACCTCCCAGGGACCCCTCTCCAACGTCGTCACTCCGCTGACGGGTGAAGTGGCCAGAGTCTGAGGGCTCCACCTGTCTGACCCCAGGAGGCAGGCGCCTCTGCCCTGTTCAGTCCTCACCGTCCTTGATCCCCGAGGAGCTGTCCCCTCATCCTGCCTCTTTGGCGGGCGTCGTCCAGGAGTTTGTCCTCAGCACTCTCCTCGTCTTATCTCGGGGTCCCTTCCTCCAAAGTTTCTGTTCTTCCCAAGGCCAGACTCGGGCGAGCCACGTCACGTCTCTGAGCCTCAGTTTTCCCTCCACAAAATGGGGTCAGGGTCCTGCCTCCCACTTGCCTCATGACCAGGGCCCAGCACTTGCCCTCTGGGCGATTCAGTGCCCCTTTCATCCAGTGGGGTGACTAAGCCTCACGCTTCTCCTCCTGCCCAGGGCCCGGATGTGCTTGGTGCCATAAAATCCCAAGATGCTTTGGAAGGGGCGGCTGGGAGGTATGCTTGCCCTAAGCTGGAGTCTCGCCTCCTTTGTCATCCGGGTCGTGACCGGAAGATGCAGGCGCAGCAGAGTCCCTAGCAGAGCCCCCACTCTTCCCCCCGCAGAAGGAGCCACCATTGGAATGAAGAGCAGCGCACCGGCCTGGATCCCCGGAGCCCTGGTGTTCTGCCGGGAGGGTTTCGAGATGGGGTGGGGACTGTGGAGGGGAGAGGAGGTCCCCAGGTCAGAGGGGGCTCTCTGCGGGCCCCTGTCCTTGCTCCTTAGCTGCTCGTCACCGTCCATGCGGTCTGGGAAGAAGGTGGGGGAAGACCATGAGGAGGCCCAGCTGTACCCCCACCCAGGGCCTCCCCCGCCCCCCACATCGGCTCCCCTCTTCCCTGCAGTGGCACCCTGTCTCCTGGTGGCCCAGTCCTCTGGCCCCACTGACTGATGTTCCAGCTCATCTGGGCGGGCTCGGCCCCACCTGGCCAGCCCCCTCCTCCCATCAGCCTTACCTGCAACTGCAAAGGGTGTCTGGGACTCCTCCCTCCTCAGTCTGGGGTGCCTCAAGAAGGCACTCCCAGCCCCTCACAGAGCTTCCCTATTCGGATGCTCTGAACCATTTCAGTAAAGAACTGAATTATATTCTGTCGTCTTGCCGGTCACCCTGGAAATCTGCTTCTGGCTGCCTGTCACCCTGCAGCCTGGAATTCTGAAGTCACACTCTCTGTCACAGCCTGGGGTTGGGACCCAGCCCTGGAAGAGTGTGTGTGGGGGGGTCTCCACCCCAACCCGGACTCGGCTCCAGAGAGGAGGAGAGGGTGGCAGACCATGCAGGGCGGGAACCAGGCTGTGTGGCCTGGGGTTCTGGGTGAAATGCGGAAGCGAGGAGTGGGTGTGCAGGAGCCTGGGTACTGGCAGGTGCGGCCGGCAGGCTTCCTGGAGGAGGCAAAAGTGCTGGCAAAGGGTGGGTGGGGCCGAGGGCGGGGCCCTCTGTGAATCCCTCGTGCCTTGGGGCTCACTGGCCCGTCTTGGGTCGCACCGCAGGCCACTGTGGAGGGGCCGAGGCCAGGGGTTGGTCGACGAGCATTCGGCAGCCGGACGGGCGTCAGCCGCAAGAAATGGCCGTGCAGTTCGTGTATCCCGCCGCTGCTCGCCGCCAGCCGACACTTCACCCTCTGTCCCTGGGGCCGCGCTGGCCACGCCCCGGGGCGGGCCCGGGGCCCGGGCGGGGCCGGGACTGTCGGCTAGTTCCTAGGCGGTCGGTGGTGGTGAAGGCGACGGCGACCGTGGCGGCGACATGGAGAGCGGGGCCTACGGCGCGGCCAAAGCGGGCGGTTCCTTCGACTTGCGGCGCTTCCTCACGCAGCCGCAGGTGGTGGCGCGCGCTGTATGCATGGTGAGTCGGCAGGGCGCGGGGACCCAACTCCGTCCCAGGCCCAGCACTGGACGCGACAGGTGGCAGCGGCCAAGGGCGGTGGTGTGGGAGGCGGCGCGTAGGGCCGGCGCGCAAAGCCAGACCCACCATCTCCCAGTCTCCGGCTCTGCCGCCCCCCACCCCACCCTTGGGCCCGGGCGCCCTCCACTTACCCGCCCTGTCTGGGCGCGGGGTGGCCTGGATGGCGCAGTAGGGAGCAGGCCCTTGTCCCTGCTGGCAGTGGGAGGAGTTTGGGGCAGCTCCAGGACAGGTGGCCGGTGCTCGGCACTCGGCACTGGGAGACTGCAATTGGGGAATTCACCTGGAAGGGGCTTTCCCGAGCCACGTGGTGCGCGGGCAGTGGGACTGCCGCGGGGCGGGGGGGGGGGGGGGGGGCGGGCTGAAACAGGATCTACTTTCCAGGCAGGAGCAGCCTACAGGTCTGCTTGCCCACCCAAGATCGGGTGACTCCAGGATGTACCCCTCCCCGTGAGCTAGGTGGGCCCTGCAGCACCCGGTTCCTGGGGGGTGGGAAAGTTGGGGGTGGGTCCCTTGTTTTTGGACCACCAGCATAACCAAAGCTGGACATGGCAGGCAGGGCCTGGAGTGCTCACAAAGGCCTGCCTGGGACTGAAACCTGAGGGGCCCTGGTAGCACCCATGCCCCCGCCCTGCCCAACTGTAGGGTCTGACCCCAGAAGCAGGCGCGGTGTCCCGTCTGCAGTGCCAGGAGTTGGGCCCGGCACACTGCTTCCAGCATCCCGGAGTTCCGGCTTCACCTCCAGCTGGGGGTGGGGCTTGTGACTGCCAGTTCCAGAGCCTCCTGAGAGGGCCTTGTGCAGGCAGGCGGGTGCGGCCTGGGAGAGGCTGCCTGGCCTGGAGGGGGCCAGGGAGCCAGGTGTCCAGGCCGCCCTGCTCCTGCTCACTGGGGCAGAGATGGGTGGTGGCCTTGACTGACGTTTGGGAAGTTGACCAGGTGACATGAGGCTGTTCCCAAGGGCCTGGAACCACTCCTGGAGTAGGGCCTGGTGCACCCCTCCACCCCCACTCCAGGACCTCCAGGGCTCTGAGTGCAGAGCTGTACCCCCACGCCTGCTGGTCAGACCAGCCTGGAGCACCCTGTGTGGCCAGGACCCACTTCGGTTGGGAGGCAGACTGGGGTTTCCTCGGAGGGGAGGGGCCAGGACTCCAAAGAGGCTAAAATTCCTCGTGGGAAGAAAGCTGGCCAAACCGGGGAGGCCAGTCTGGGGCAGGGAAGTCGGAGGGGCCAGGGAGGTGGGACCTTCCGGCTCACAGCGCACTGGCATGGCTTTCCAGAACCACGGGGGGGCGGGGGGGCGGCAAGTAGAAGCAGGTGGCTCCATCAGGTGAGCAGAGCTGACACTCCAAGCCTGAGTTTCCATGATGTGGCCCATCATGTTTACAACTCAGTGAAAGGGGCCCTGGCTGGTGCGGCTCAATGGATTGAGTGCCGGCCTGTGAACCAAAGGCCCGACTGGTTTGATTCCCGGTCGGGGCACATGCCTGGGTTGCAGGCCAGGTCCCCAGGGGGGACCACACAGGAGGCAAGCACACGTTGATGTTTCTCTCCCTCTCTTTCTCCCTCCCTTGCCCTTTCTCTAAAACTAACAAAATCTTTAAAACCCCGTTGAAAGGGGAGGTGGGTAGGCTACCCTCAAACCCCATCACGTACAACTACAAAGACCTTTTTAGGCAGGACAGCCCCTCCCAGGAGATCCCCATACTTTCCTCAGTGTCCTCAGTCCAGGAACCCCCAAACCCTGGGACAGGCCCCTGTGGTGGCGATCGTCATCTGATCTCAGAGGGAGCCCGGGAGAAGGGAGAAGTGAGAATGAAGGCCCTGCCTTGTGCACCAGGAAGTAGCTTTCATATTAGCTTGCTCCCCAAGTTCAGAAGGGGCTTTGAAGCTGACTTCCTAAAGGGGAGCAGTGACGGTGGGAGAGTCCAGGGTCCCCCCCCCGCCCCACCCTGTGTGGCCTGGACAGTCTGTCCGTGGTGCCGACCCCTCCCTGCCTCCGCCTGCAGGTCTTTGCTCTGATAGTGTTCTCCTGCATCTTCGGTGAGGGCTACAGCAACACGCACGAATCCGATCAGAGGTACTGTGTGTTCAACCACAACGAGGACGCCTGCCGCTACGGCAGCGCCATCGGGGTGCTGGCCTTCCTGGCTTGTGCCTTCTTCTTCGTGGTCGACCTCTATTTCCCCCAGCTCAGCAATGCCACCGACCGCAAGTACCTGGTCGTCGGCGACCTGCTGTTCTCAGGTATCTGCCTGTGGCACCTCGGTGCCCTCGGGAGGAGTGGGGAGGGGCACGGGACCTGTGCGCATGCGTGTTCCTAACACGCACTGGTGTCAAGTGAGAGCATGCGGGTGAGGAGCCGGGCCTCCCAGGGCGGCTTCCGGTCCTGCCTGGGTTCTGGCCCGGTGTCCTGTCAGCTCCTGGAAGACCTGTCCACAGGGCCGACCTGTCCTCCTGGCCTCTCCCCAGCTCTCTGGACCTTCCTGTGGTTTGTTGGTTTCTGCTTCCTTACCAACCAGTGGGTGGCCACCAAGCCTGCCGACGTGCTGGTGGGAGCCGACTCAGCCCGTGCGGCCATCACCTTCAGCTTCTTCTCCATCTTCTCTTGGGTAGGTTGGCCCGGCTCCCGGTGCCTTGGGTGGGGGGGGGGGAGGCCTTTGTGAAGGGCAGTGGAGGAACCAGGCCTCGGGGCTCCCCGCAGGGTCTGCTGGCCGTCTTGGACTACCAGCGCTACAAGGCTGGGGTAGATGACTTCCTGCAGAACTACGTGGACCCCACCCCAGACCCCGGCACTCCCTATGCCTCCTACCCTGGCCCATCTGTGGACAACTACCAGCAGCCGCCTTTCACCCAGAACGCAGAGGCCACTGAGGGCTACCAGCCGCCTGTTGTGTACTGAGCTGTAGCCGGGGATGGTAAGGGGCGCAGGGGGGCGCCCGGGGGCCAGCCCTCCATCCTGGACTCCGCCCACCAGGCCAGCCTCCTGAAGCTGCTGGCCCCTGGCCCCGCCTGGTGCCTGACCCTCCGCACACAGCCTGGCCTGCAGCCCCGCTGCCCCTCCAGGGCGTCTTTAAGAAAAGGGTTTTTAGCTAGTTTGTCATTGTTTCTCATGGTCCGAAGCCCCGCCTGACAGCTGGAAGTGCCTGACAAGCTGTTCTCACAAGTGCCTTAGTTTCTCCCAAACGGATCAGGAGCAGGGCCCAGGTCCAGGCCACCATGCCCTGTGACTTGGGCTTCTCTGCCAAAGACGAGGCTGGGGTCCCCCCCTTGCTCTGTCACTGGGGTGGGGCTGGGTCTCCTTTCTCCTCACTCAGGTCTGTTGCCTAGCCCAGCTGCCCGTACCCCAAAGCAGGTGGCCTGCTTTGCTGTTGCCTCCTGGACCTGGGGTCACTGCCCTGTGCCCCTGCCACCAGGCCTTCTTCCTGACACCCATGGGGTGGGGGCTGGTGCCCACCCAGGGGACACAGGGCAGCACCTGGGGCCCTATGCCCTCCCGTCCACCCTGCAGCAGGGAGGGTCTTTGCCTGACCACACCCAGCTTTATGTAAATACTCTCCCATTGTTCCTTAGGGGGTGTGGGTGTACCCATGACCCCACAGCCCCCTCAGGCTGTTCATAGACTATTTGGAGATGGAATAAATGTTTTTCTCAGTCATGATCTCCAGTCATTGGTTGGGCCTCAGCAGGAGAAGGGAAGTCCCACTCTGGGGGACTTGCAGGGGGTGGGGCTTCTGTGGAACTTGCATTTTGAACAAGGTTCCGGCAGGCTGGCCGCCAGCATGCCTGGTGACTGCCCTCCCCCTGCCTAGGGTCTCATTCCTCACGCTGCCCTCCACCGGTCTTAAAATAGCAGCTGTGCTCAGCCGGTAAACAAGACGGGCTCTTCACACCGCCTTGCCAGGGTCCTGGTGGAGGCCCCTGGGGGCTGGCTCTCTGAGTGCCCCTTGGAGTGGAGAGGCCAGGGCCCTCCACTTCCTGTAGGCAGGGCTTGCACCTCGGGAACCCTTCGCAGGCAGGACACGGCAGGGAGCAGGGCTGGCCACCCAGCCCCCTTCAGGGCAGGCCAGCAGGGCAGGCCAGGGCGCTGAACCAGCTCCCGGCTTCCCCGTTGAGCAACTGTCAAAAGCAGGCCCCGACCGTTTCAAAATCCTGAGTAAAAATGAGTAGGGTTCTGGTGAACAGCCGTACCTTCTTGCAACCTGGGCCTCTGAAGACCCATGTCCAGGGCCCACCCCACCCCCAGCCCCTTGGGGCTCTGGCCTCCCCAAGAGCCTCCCCTCCCGTGGCACAGCTGAGCCTGTGTTCTTGGCTCCCGAACTGGCATGTCTGTTTCACAAACAAAACCTGACCCCGCAGCTCCAGCTGACTGTGCTGAGCTTGGCCTCCTCCTCCCCCTGGTCTGGGCCCCAGGCTCCTCCACGCGCCCACTTTGCCCTGAAGCCCACCCAGACAGAAGAGCAAGCGACGTTCCCTCTTAGTATGCACATCCCAAGCAAGTCTGTGGGGAGGGGTGTGGCCGAGAGCCGTGGCTTGGGGAAAAGATCTGGAAATAAATCAGCCGCAGATCCACCAGTGTCTATGGCCCGCCCAGGGGAAATTCCAGGCGGTGAGAGAAACAGGCTCCCACCAACCAGTCCACTTTAATGTGAGTTTAATTTCACACTCTCTTACAAACGCCTGGGTCCGGAGCCCCAGCAGGACCTGAGTGCCCATGGGGAGGAAGCTGGCATTCCGGAGAAAGTGGTCACCAGAGTACGAAGGACTTTCATCCCAGAGGGAAGTAAGGAGACCTGAGGCCAGCCATTTTCCAAGGACGGAGCCTGTGTGGATGGGGACTCAGCGCTGAGCTGGAGCTGCTGATGCCAGACTTGCCAGTGAGAACAGAAACTCAGCAGTGAAAGCCACAAGGGGGAGGAGGCGAGTAGCACCAATGTCACAACAGCGTGTGGCCGGCCCCTCACCCTAAAGGAGAAGGAGTGGTGTCTGCCAAGGCCAGAACCTGAGCCACAGTGCAGGGCCGGTTCCAGCCCAGAGTGGGTCGTGAGTGGACCGGCAGTCGGGAAGGGAACTGAGAGAGGCCAGCCAGCAGGCCAGCAGGGCGACAGGACTGCAGGGCACCAGCCTGTCGGGCCCTGCACATTCAGGAAGTCCCACAGCCAGTGAAGCCTCCCAGGCCGGACTTCCTCCTTTGAAAAGGTAGCTGGGGGGGAAGGGGGACAGGGGACAGGCGTCCACCAGGGGGCGCCGGCTGCCCCAGGCTCAGTTGGCCGGGATGTACTGCAGGATCTGATGAGGGGCCAGCGGCTTCCTGGTCCCAGCCACCTCTCCGAGCTTGACCTCCCCTGGCTTCCCCAGCCCAGGGCAGTTCTCCTTGTTGCTCAGCCCAGCCTGCTGATCCGAGGCCTTCTGGAAGTAGCAGAGGCGGCACACGGCATGGTATTTGTCTGCTCCTCCAATCACCTCGACCTGGCCAAGGGGACAAAGAGGGCCTGAACTGAGCCGGCCCAGAACCTGCGGGCCACCCCCACCCCCCTCGGAGAAGGCGGGTGGCGGCTACCTCCTTTTCGAGGCCCAGCCGCTTGGTGTAGGCAGCCTCGTGGAAGCACTCCATGCACACGGCGTTCAGCTTTACCACGCTCTCGGCCAGCGGCACCAGGTTCAGGATGGCTCCGAAAGCCTGTGTGCGAGGGACAGACAGCGGCGGGCACTCACCTCGCCCTTTGGATTTGCAAGCACTGAAGCCAGGAAACTGCCCACCCCCCACCCGAACGTTAGCCCTGCCACAGAGGGCAACCCTGGGGAGGGGCCCCCGGTCATCCAAGGAGTGCGCACACGCCTCACCCAGAAGGAGAAGGGCCCCTGGGCTGCCCAGGCCCCTGCCCACGACCTGCCGCCTCACCTTCCTCTGGAAGGTCCCATCCAGGGCAGCCACAATCACGGTCTTCCCCAAGTTGGCCATGGTCTCGCTGAACTCCACAATGTCAGGGAACTGCAGAGTGGGGGGGGGGGGAGGAGAAGAGAGTGAGCCTCCACCCAGGGGGGCAGCTTCTGGAAGCCACGGGGAAGAGACCCTGCCACCTGGATCAGCGGCGTCCTCTGCACCGAGACAGAAAGTTGGGACTTGGGTCCTTTCCACATCAGGGTCTGGGGAGGCAAGGAGGGGCCTTGGCCCTCCGCTCTCAAACTGATGCCCACAGAAAGCAGGTTATTCTACTGGAAGGCGTGTCCCATTCCCATGCCAATTCCCCCTCCCAGGGAACTGTGAACCCTGGGCCTCGCCAGGGGTTCCTGAGTCAGCAAAGGTAAGGATGGAGCCAGCCAGGTGTCTGCTGCATCTCCAAATGTCCACCAGTCACGTCACTGGCATTTACTGCCTTTAGTTTTATAGATTGTCATGGGTTGAATTGGGTCCTCCCTCCCCCACAAATGGATGTTAAAATCCTTACCCTCACTAGCTCAGTGCGACCCTGGAGACAGAGAAGCTTAAGAGAAGGGAATTGGGACGGAAGCACACAGAGGGACGCTGACTTGAAGACACAGGGAGAAGACAGCCGTCTACCAGCCACAGGGAACGGCCGGGAGCCAGCCCCCCTCACAGACACGCCCACGGCAGGAATCGGGGCTCCCAGAGCGGTCAGCGTCGCCGAGGCCAGGGCACTGGCTGCAGGAGCCTGAGCACATTGACCCAGGTGACATTTAAAGTGGAACTTCAAACTATTTAGCAAACCTGGGGCTTCCCCCGCAGATGAGAGCAGCCAAAGTGCGGGGTGCAGGCTAGAAAGGAGGGGTCCACCTACCACACCCCAGCTCTGCACCCTGGGACCTGAGGCAAGCCCCTTCCCGAACGAGGTCTGAGTGGGGAGACCCCACGGGGGGATCGGAGGGCTGGAGGAGGTCTGCGCCTCTGCCACCATGTCACCAAGAGCTAGGTGGTGGCCCAAGGCCCCCTGGCTCCACCTCCCGGCTGTCATGCTAGCACAAGCCACAGAGGCCACCGAGGACGGGCGAAGGACGCGACAGCACAACATTCCACTGCAGATGGTGGCAGACCCCTCGAGAGGCCTGACAAAACCCAACTGGGAATGAACAGAGGAGACACGTTAACAGCGCATGACCGGGAGGCCCGGGTCAGCGCATCCACTGGGTGCGGCACCAGCCCAGGGAAAGGGTGTGAGCCCCTGGAAGGCGCTTCCCCAGGAGAGACAGACGCTGGAAGCCAATGAGCAGGGAGGAGCCAACGGCCATGGGCAGAGCGAAGGAGATGCTGCGGGGGGGGGAAAAGCGCGTCGACTTGGTGAAAAGAGAAACTGCTACACAGGCGAGTAGCATGGAGAGAAAAGGGGCCTCCCAGACCCCCCGGGAGTGGAAAGCAGAGCTCAGGAACACACTAAGAGGCAGACTGTCATGGTCACGGCTTCCTCCTCCCGCCGGAAGCCACGCCGTGCGTGCTCAGTTAGAAGGCATAGTGGTCCTGGCTGGTGTGGCTCAGTGGGTTGAGCACCAGCCTGCGAACCGAAGGGTTACCAGTTTGATTCCCAGTTAGAGCACATGCCTGGGTTGTGGGCCAGGTCCCCAGTAGGGGACACATGAGAGGCAACCACACACTGATGTTTCTCTCCCACTCTTTCTCTTTCTCTTCCCCCTCTCTAAAAATAAATAAATAAATAAAAAAGGGAAGGCACAGTGAACACAAAGCAGAACTTACACTCCCCCCCACGTGCTGTTCTGAGGGCAGGTCTGGGCCCTGCTGGGACAGCAACCAGTAGGGGACAGTGACCTCCTCAGCCCCTAAAGGAGTGAGTGCTCACGCTTTTCCAAAAGAACAGGGAAATGGTCAACCATTTTCCCTCGGCTGCCCACTATTTTGTTAACTCAGTGAACAAAACGGACCGACAAAAGGGGACTCTCAGGGGGTTCACAAGATGGAGGCCCAGGCGAGCCCACTTACAAACTGCCCTTCGTCAATGCCTATGACATCCACCCCCAGGGCCTCCTGGGTCGTGTCCCGGAGCTGGCAGGCGGGCAGCGCCTCCATGGTGCACCTGAGGGGAGAAAGCCAGAGTGAGCAAAGGGGGCCCAGGAGGCGGCGAGGTGGGCCGTCGTGTCTGCCTGGAGCTCGGGGAAGCCTCACTCAGTCTTGCGTTGCATTCATCCTCATGTCAGTGCGCTCACGCAATGCACTGTTTTTCCTTCTTTGGAGGGAGGGAGGGACCCATGAGGGCAAAGCGCCCAGGGCCTCTGGGTGCTGACCGAGTCCCGCGTGCCCAGGCGGAGCAAGGCCAGGGCAACGACCCAGAAGAATTTCCTCTGCCCCGTGAGGAGATTTCTCTGTGACCCGTGACCAGCTGGCTGAGAGCCAGGACCATCCGCTGCCTCGCGTTCTGGGGAACAGCCCGGCCGGGCAGTTTGAAGGGCAGTGTGTGGGAAAGTTCCAGGGCAGTAAAAGACTCCCTGCACCCCCCGCCCACCCCCACCCGCGGAAAGCCAGGGCCTTTTTGAAGAGGAATGCTGTTCTTTGTCCTCTGTCTTTTTACATAGTTTCTGTGTTTTTCTACAATGTCATTTTGTGTCCATTTTTGCCTCTCCTGGGCTTGTAGCTTCCTGAAGGCTCAGTAGTTTGCAGCTGTATTTATAAAATAATAAAGCACTCTACAACGTAGTTATTACTTTGCCATCATCCTACTATTCCGTGCATTTTAAACCTCACCCCCTGCCCGAAATGCAGGAGAGCAGAGGGAGGGCAGGGAGCGGGCGGTTCCGTCTGCAGCAAGGGCAGTGACCGGGAGCTCTGTCATGGCTGCCAAGCACTCGGTCACCGCCCCCATAGCCCAAGACAGGCAGGACTGTGATGCTCGGCCAGTTCGGATTTAACCCCGATCTGACCAACTCCAGAAACTCGACTTCCAATCAGTGCAACGCTGTCTCCTCTGCTTGTTTGGTCCTCCCCAGACGCGCCCCCGGTCCTGTGCGGCGGTCACATTTTAGGGACCAGGACGCAAACCTGGAGGCGCGGTGGGCCCGAGTCAGGCAGCACAGCCCGAATCGCCTGTCTCATTCCGGACACTTTCCAGTCCCAGTTCCCAGCACTGCCCACCCACCATCCACCTGCAGCGGCTGCAGCGGCTTCCAAACGCCACATGCCTGCAGCTTGGCTGGGCTGCTGGGGGCTCTGAGGGGGACATGTCTGGAGGGGCAAGATGGGCGTGACTCAGGCGCAGAACACCAGGCCCCAGCCTGCTGCCCAGGGGGTGGGCAGAGGGAAACTAAGCTAAACCCCAAACCCAGGTTGCAGACACCAATGCCTGCCCTGGGCGCAGGCAGATAAATGTAAAACCGGTGCACGCAGGCCACCAAGCCACAGCGGGTCCGCGAGGACCAGCCGGCTGAAAAGTTAAGTCAGAAACACCGAGCAGGCCAATCAAAACCAGCGTGCAACCTCCCCACAGGTGACTGAGTGAATCCCAGAGGGAGGCTGCCGGTCGAGGCAGGCGCCATGGACAAAGCGGTGGGCCGCTCTGTGTCGTGGGGGCGTCTTGTGCAGGGAGGATGCTCAGCAGCACCCCTGGCCTCTGCCCCCTAGAGGCTGGAGGCATGCACCCCCTCCTCCAGTTGGGAAAAATAGAAACAGCTGCAAAATCGCCCCTGGTTAAGAAGCACTGGGCTGAAGACCCCCGAAAGGCCGAGTCCCAGGCCACCTCGCCAAGCAACCTGGAAAGAGTCCTGATTTGAACACGCAGTGCCGGGCATCCGCTTTACTAACTGTTCCCACGAAAGCCCTCTCCCAACTCCTTCTGCGCCACGTCAGTTTCCAGGGGCGGGCTTTTGGGGAGGGAACGGGACAGAAGGGTCAGGCACTGACCTGTCATGGGTGGAGAACGCATTGCTGTACCGTGTGTCTTTGGCATATTTGATCACCAGGCACTTGTACTGCGCAATCTGGAAGCGCTGGACGCGTCTCATGAGCTCAGTGCTGCACAGGCAGGGGGGTAGGTAAGGCCCCCAGTGATGGACAGGCGAGCAAGACTCAGCCACCCACCTGCTAGGGGCTTACAGACTCCCACTGATAGGAAGACTGAAGGGCAGGGCGTGGGAAAGACAGTGAGGGCCAGAGGGCTCCACCCCAAGGGCCTCCTAGACCTGAAAGGGACCTAAACCCCCATCCTGCATCACTGGGGTGGGGGGCCTGGTGGCCAGGAATGGCCCTGGGTAAGCTTCTCAAGGGACGGGGCAGAGGAGAAGAGTCCAGACTACATTCCCAAATAATCTCCTTCCAGAGTTCTTCACAGTCGGAAGTGACGTCACAAACCTTTCTGTGCCACAACAGAAGCACTTTGCCTCCAGGTCAAAGGGACCACCCTGGGCCACTGGAGAATCGCCCGGCAGTACCAAACACAGCCCCCCCCACCCAGGTCCCAGCAGACCTAAGGAGATGGTCTCCCTACGAGGAGGTGGTCCACGGCCTGGACCCCAGGGCACGCAGTCTTTAAGACTTGGACGCCCCTTTCTGAGGTAGGGTGTGAGACCAGCAGCTCTGGGAACAGCTCAGGAGGGACCAGCTCTGTTCAGAGGATTCGACCTGGGTGGGGGTGGGGTGGGGTGGCTCCTCCAGGATCAGGTCTGGGGGAGATGGGGGAGCGGCATGCTGGGCGGGAAGGCTCCAGGGCAGGGGCGCGAGGTCTGGCAGGCGGGGTTGGGGGCTGTGCTAGAGGGGAACTCTGCCAGGGGGACCAGGGCAGGAGGGCGAGGTCCCGGGGTGGTGGGGGAGAGGAGGAGAAGGTGGTCCCGGGCCAACCCCCCTCCCCGTGAAGCCATTACCTTTTTCCTGAGAACATAGGTCCGAGAATCACCTAGGAGAGAAGGAGAGGTCACTTCGGGGCCCCCTGCGCGCGGATGCCGGGTCACCAGCCACGACTCCGCCCCCGCCTGCCAGGCCCCCGCCCCGGCCCCCGCACCTGGATCTGCCCCCGGGTCTTGCAGGGGGAGCCGGGCAGCACGTTGGGCAGCGTGAGGCAGCTCATAGTGCCTCCGGGGAGATTGCCTGACCTGAGCTTCCGCGACAGCCGCTGCGGAAATTCTGCGAATCCCGCGCGCTCGCCTTTATTGGCCGCGCGCGCCAATCATCGCGCGCCGCCGTGGAAGTAATAGGAGATTTCCCGCGCAACCTGACCCGGTCCGGGGCGGAGCCCGGCACATGCTTGCCGAGCTCCGGGAGGCCTGGCGGGGGCGGGGCTCCAGGGACCGGAGCCTAGCCCGCCCCGCCCTGTCCACCAGGCCCCGCCCCGCCCCCCGTCCACCCTGCTGCTCACGAGGGGCCACGCCGTTGCAGACGCCGAGATGGATGTGCCCGGGCAAGGTCTCGAGAGCGATGCTCCCTGGAAGAAGATGTCGGAGGAGGTAGGAGGCTTGGAGTGAGGGTCTGGGGCCAAGTGCACCTCAGCGATTATTAGGTGGAAGGCCCAGGGAGGAAACTTAGAAGCCCTCTAGACCACTCTTGTGGACGCCGCTGAGTGCCCACTTTGGGCCCGCTACTGACAGCTCCAGTGCCATGATGTCACCCCGTGATGTCACTTTACAGGGTGTCGCTCGGGGCGGAAAGGCAAACCTTTGTGAGCCTGTGGGCCTGACTTGAAGGGTAGAGAAAATTGAAGCCCTGGCTCCGTGAATATCCCATAAGGTACAGGAATGGGCAAAGTCCTTGACCTCGGCCTTGCTTGCGCAGTGAGTGGGTGGGATGCGCCGCCCCTGGCTGGCTGCAGAGGCCGGCGTTTACTGCTGGGTGCTCGTGAGGGTTAGAAAAAACCCGCAGAGAGCGCCTGGGCTACTGCCCTTCCATCACACGTTCCTAACTCGTCTTCCTGCATTTGCGGCGGTGGTTCCTCTGCCAGGGACGCGTCTGAGAGTCTGATGCAAGTCACGGATACCACCCGGAAGAAATCCCAGCGCCTCTCTCTGACACACATGTCCCCACAGTGTCAGAGGACTATCAGAAATCCATTGCAGGTTCATTAGGATAAATCGTAGCGCTGAACATGATGAGGGCAGTCACAGAGAGCGCCGGGCATGGCTGTGAACACCCCACAGGCAGGCCGCACAGACCCAGAGCCCCGTCCAATGGGAAGAGGAGGTCACGCACATTTGAGGGGTTAATTTTACTTGGCTTGCACGCCTTATGTCTCTTCACCTGTGAGGCTGCTGTTGCAGTGCCCAGTGTCCATATGAAGGAACTGAGACCCCGAGGCTGAAGGCTGCCCGGGGTCTCAGTGATGGAGCTTGGGTAGCACTCAGCCTGGCAGACTGCAGAGCCCGAGACCTTTCCATGAGGCCACGCTGTCTTCAAATTTCTCGGTCTCCTGTGCCTCTGTACCCTTTCTCAAAATCCCAGTTCCCTCCTGCACTACGGCTGAACACCTTAGCCGGATATTCAAGACCTTTGGCTCTCCAGCCGCAGCTTCCCAGCCTTGCCTCTGTGTTTGAGCGGTCTGGCCAGTCGGCACCCCCAAACGGACCCCAATTCCTTTCTTACCACCTCTGGGCCTCCCCTTGTGCTGCGTCCCCCTGCGGTCACACTGGTGCCCTTCGGGAGGACCAGCTCCACGTCACTTTGTCCGCAGCGGCCACCCAGCTCCTGGGCCTCCTGAGGTCTGAGTTAATGGGGACACATTTATGGGGGCCTCATCTTTGCTTTAAAGCTGTTTGCTGGTTAAAAGCGTGTTGTCACTCTAGCCCATGGATGTGAGAGCATCTGCGATGTTGTGGCTGAAGCACCTCATTAATTAGTGGGGAGAGAGTGGAGAGGGGTCCCAGGCTGGAGACTGGAAGGGCTTGCAGGAAGCCAAGGGCATCTGTGAGAGCCCTAGAGATCAGGGAGGGAGGCATCTCAAGGCGAGAGGTGCACAGGGCAGGTGGCAGGCGGGGCACACTCCGCTTGGAGAACAAAGGCCTGACGGGGCCGTGTCTGTCCTGCAGGAGCTGGAGAACCAGTACTCGCCCAGCCGATGGGTTGTCCGACTGGGAGCAGAGGGAGCCCTGAAGACCTACCAGGAGATGGGGAAAGAGGGTACAGGGAACCTGTCCCCGGCTGCTCGGGGTGGACTTTGGAGTGTGGCAGTGGTTCAGAAGGGTGGGGGTGGGAGCGGAGCCGCCCCATAGCCCAGCTCCCAGGGCAGTTCCAAAGTCCAGGCGCTGGAGACCTGTGAGCTAGTGAGGTGTCGAGGTTAATCCCCATCTCTGCCCTGTGTTTCCAGAGTGATGTGGTGTTGTTTTCACGCTGGGCGAGGTGCCCACGCTGGGCTGGGGAGGCAGGCTTCCCGGGGGAAGCACGAGGAAGGAAGCAGCCAGCCTCTCCCTCTGTCGGGACAGTCCGCTGTTGGCAGACCTGTTTTGTTTGAGCAGCTCAAACAGAGGTCCTGGCGGGCCGTGGCTGTCTAACCATATAGCCCAGCCCGAAGCACAGGCTTGGGCTTATCCCAGCACCCACGCTGACCAGACTGGTGTGGGTGGAGCTGCGTCTCGGGCTTTTGAAGTTGCCTCACGTGCTTGCCTCTGTGCCAAACACGCCTCTGTTTGCTCAGTCAATGTCTGTGTTCAGGGACGCCCGCATGAGCTCGTAGAAAACCTGGGTGTCTTCCTCATCTGGAGGGAGAAGAGCGAATCCTGTTGAGATGGGGAGTCACCCAGAAGTAGCAGGAGCTAAGACAAGCGTGCCACTGCTGCCTTCGGGGACCCTTTAGGGACTGCCCCCGTGAGCCCTGTGGTCAGCTCTCAGGTCACGGTCCACCTCCTTCCTTTCTCGATGCTCCAGCTGTCACAGCAGGCCCATCTCATAGATGAGGGACAGCTTTAGGGCCACTGGGGTGAGCAGAGCTGCACATGTGCAGGGGCGGGGCCTGTCTCTGTTTACAATGCCGAGATTTTGTTCATCGTGAACTTTGAGGCCTTCATTTTTATTTAAAAACATAAATTGCTTTTAAATACTCTTAATCTTTGTATTGGTCTGCCTGAGCTGCCGTACAGAAGGCTGTCCCCGGGCGGCTGCCACAACAGGAAGCCGCTTCTCACAGTTCTGACAGCGAGAAGCCCAAGGCCAAGGTGCCAGCCAGTGTGGTTCCCTGGCGAGCATTCTCTTCCCCGGCTGGCAGACAGCCACCTTCTCCACGTCCTCACGGCGTGGACACAGAGTTCTGGTCTTGCTTCCTCTTTTAAGGCCGCTTATCCCGTCCCGGGGCCCCCCTCAGGCCCTCATCTAACGCCAGTCAGCTCCCAAAGAGGCCACCTCCAGGGCTTCAACACAGGGCTTGGGGGAGGCACCAACACTCAGGCCATTACCATCTTCATTACTGAGGTTTCTGGTGCCACCCGCCGATGTTGTGCCCCAAGGGATTGCCTCTCCCACGGCCCCTAGTCCAGGCCCTGCCCCGTGAGGTTGGATAACGTGGCCAAGCCCACTCTGCTGCTGCCGGCCTCCACCCCCGGGCAGAGCATTACCCAGGGCAGGTAATGGGGCAGGTGCTGTGCGAGTCTATGGGGGCATCGGTGAGTGCCACCAGCAGGCCTCTCCTGGTGGAGTTCCTTAGCCCTCATCAGCGCCGCCCGTAAGCACATACGTACGGATGTGCCGAAGCCGGCTTCGAGGGGTGCCTCCCGGAACCGATCACCCACTTCCAGTCAGACGTCAGCGGAGAGTGTGGGTCCCATGTGGGTGGGCCAGTCTGGTCTCCTGGCAACCACACGCGTGTGCAGTGCTTCACAACCTAGTATAGGGCCCTGGGTACGACAGCCGCGGCCAACTGGTCAACCCCACGGCGCTTGCAGCAGGAAGGTTTCTACGTAAAATACAGACTGCTGCTCCCTGAGCTTGTTCTGACAGTGGCTTGTCTGGTTTCCCGAGACAGCCACCAAGAGGGCCCGGGCCACCAGGAGGAACCTGCTGAATGTCCCCTACGGAGACGGCGAAGGGGAGAAACTGGACATCTACTTCCCGGAGGCAGGGTCTGAAGGTGAGCAGCGGGGGCTGGCGGTCCCCGGGCAGGGCCCAGCCAGTGCCCTGCCTCAGCCCGGCCCTGCGTCCTGTCTTCTAGCCCTGCCTTTCCTCGTGTTCCTCCATGGAGGGTACTGGCAGAGTGGCAGGTGGGTCTGGAAACTGGACAAGGGGAAGTGGAGGGAGATTCCTCTTGCCCCGGCTGCCGAGTCTCCTATTCCCGGAGCTGCTACAGCAGATGACCACACACGGGGGCTGGGGGAGGGGTGCGGGCTCGCAGTTCTGGGGCCAGAAATCGGAGCTCAAGTTGTCGGGGTCCCACTCCCCCCAAAGGCCTCAGGGGAGGACCTGTCCCCGCTCCTTCCCGCTTCTGGTGGCTCTTGGTCTCCTGTGGCCTGTGGCCACGGCACTCCGGCCCAGCCCCCGTCTCCATGCAGCCTTCAAGTGTCTACGTCTCCGATCTCCTTCCCTTTTCTCCTACAACGTCACCAGTCATCGGGTTTGGGGCCCCTCCTAAATTCGGGGTGATCTCATCTCAAGATACTTAGTCACATCTACAAAGACCCTATTTTCAGTAAGGTCACATTCGGAGGCACTGGGGGCCAGGGTGTGGACCTGCCTTTTCGGCGAGCACTGTTTGACCCACTGTACCTGGTGAGAAGCATGTTCAGTCCACTCTGTCATCAAAGGGAAAGTCACAGGGAGCCACCCTTCGAGGCAGTTCTCAAAAACAGCACTTAGCCCTGGCTGGCATGACTCAGTGGATTGAGCTCCGGCCTTTGAACCAGAGGATCGCGGTTCGATTCCCAGTCGGGGACATGCCTGGGTTGCAGGCCAGTTCCCGGCAGGGGGTGCATGAGAAGCAACCACACATTGATATTTCTCTCCCTCTCTCCTTCCCTTCCCCTCTAAAGATAAATAAATAAAATCTTTAAAAAAAAAAAGCAAAATAGCACTTAAGCGAAAGAACATAATTGTCCAGATGAGAAGACCAGGCTTAGGGGTTAAATGAAGTCCCCGAGGTCCCACTGCCCGCGTGATGGCGAGGACAGAGTCTGCACCCTTCTCCACACCCCGCAGGGGCGGTGAGGGGCAGCACTCTGGGAGGACAGGACACAGGAGCAGTTCGGTGGCCGAGCTGCCTGTGCTTGTCACCTCTTTGTCTCTTTCGACAGTAAAGACGAGTCAGCTTTCATGGTGAACCCGCTGACGGCTCAGGGAGTGGCCGTGGTGATAGTGGCTTATGACATTGCCCCCAAAGGTAATGGGTGGTCTTGCAGGTTCGGGGGGCTGGTGGGCTTTGGAGGGAGTGAGCCCCTGACAGAGCCTGACCCAGCCCATGCTCTCCGGACAGGCTCCCTGGCCCAGATGGTGGACCAGGTAACTCGGAGCGTCGCCTTTGTCCAGAAGCGGTACCCGTGCAATGAGTGGGTGTTGCGGCAGGGTTTCCTTGTCCGACGATGGTGGAGAGAGCGGGGAAGGGAGCCCGGGCCCAGCCCCTTCGATACAGCCCGGCCGCCCTTCTGGCCTGTGGAGTGGAGGACAAAGCGGGACTCCTTGGTACTGGCCTGAGGCTTCGGGGAAACTGGATGCAAACCTGTCACTGCTCTGCCCCATCCAGGGGGATTTACCTGTGCGGACACTCAGCTGGGGCCCACCTGGCCGCCATGATGCTCCTAGTTGACTGGACCGAGCATGGAGTCATGTGCAACTTCAAAGGTCACCATGGGGACCGCACCCCAGCCTGGCCGGGCAGCTTCCTCCTCCCCTACCGGCCGGGCCTCAGCACTAGCTGCTGGGAATCCCCACGGCCGGCTTGGCTTGACCCGGGGGCTCTGAGTCCTGGGCGCAGGGCCTGTTGGCTTCTTCTCTTCCTCCTGCTCTGGTCTTGTCCCCCTGGCTGTGGAGCCCTGGCTGGCTGCCTCTTGCCCACTTGGCGCCTGCATGAAACCTGGTCTGGGTGGTGTGATGGCCCCACCTGCCCCTCTGACTGCTTTGCCTTCGCAGGCTTTTTCCTGCTGAGTGGGATCTACGACCTGGAGCCCTTCGTGCACACCTCTCAGAACGCTCCTCTTCTCCTGACCCTGTGAGCCGCTTTCTTCCCACCCCCGCTGCTGGCCCACAGCCTGGGAGGAGGGGCTGGGGTGCGACATGGGCTTCTCTCTGTCCTGACCCCCACCCCTGCACCAGGGAGGATGCTCAGAGGACCAGCCCACAACGGCTCCTGGAGGCGGCCCCCCGGCAGCCCGCAGATCCAGCCTGCCGAGTGCTGGTGATTGTGGGCCAGTACGACAGCCCCGAGTTCCTCCGGCAGTCCAGGGAGTTCTATCAGGTACCCCGAGCACCCTGCTTTGGGCCGAAGGCGGAGGGTCATGCAGTCTCCTCATCCTCGTGTGCCTGTCACCCCGGAGGCCCTGTCAGTCACTCAGCAGATGTTGCATGAGCCTCTGGTATGTGCCGGGCTCTGGTGGGAACCCCTCTTCTCCTGCCGCCTCATGCCTCCCCCTCTGCACTTCCCCCCCCCAGACACTGTGCCGAGGAGGGTGGAAAGCCTCGTTCGAAGAACTTCAGGACGTGGATCACTTTGAGATCGTCTGGAAACTAACGCAGACGGACTATGTGCTCAACCAGGTAGGCGTGGCCCTTCACCGTGGCCCCGGAGTGGATGGGTTCCTGGCGGCTCCACCTGTAAGGAGAGGCGGGGAGCACAGGAGAGCCACTTCCCCGGGTTTCTTGGTGTCCAGGAGGTTGGGGGACCCGACGAAAGGAATCGAGTGCCACACTTGCTTCCTACACTTCACCTCCCTCCAGAACAGCCCCAGGTGATGTGCAGAGGCTGGTCCTGGGTGGGCAAGTGGGATCTTCACGGGGCTGTGGATGGGGAGAGGCCGGTACCAGACGGTGTCAGCCTGTTTGAGTCTCAGCATAAAAGCAAAGCCAACTCCACCTGGGAAGGGGTTGGTGAATTCGGTGTCTACGTGTTTATTACTATTTTAATTCGGAAAATCCCTTTCAAAGTCAAAGGAAAAATTGGGGGGAAAACATGTGCCCCAAAACTGGTAGAAGAAGAGTTACTACTTTTTTATTTTTTTCTGGGCAAGTGGGCACTTGATTAGCTTCCCTTTTTAATCAGCTGCCACCTCTGACGAGCTTTAGTTCCGTAGTGAGCATCCTTTCGACAAGAGCCCTTTCAAATCACGAAGTAAGAAGATCGGCTCCGGCTGGTGTGGCGCAGTGGGTTGAGCACTGGCCTGCAAACTGAAAGGTCCCCAGTTAGATTCCCAGTCAGGGCACATGCCTGGGTTGCGGGCCAGGTCCCCGGTCCCCAAGCTTTTTTGGCTTGCGGGTCAAACCTAGTGGGGCAGCAACCAGGGGTCAGTCCACGTAGGCTGGGAGCTTTATTAGCACCTTTCCAACCGGAGCGGGGAAAGACTCCCGAGTTGCGTTTCTGCAGCCAGTAAAGCAGGTTGTTTAATCAGAGTCCTCCGAGAGACCCTCACAAGAGCTCTCCGGTTCTGGGGCTCGTGTCTTCTCCCCACTGCAGATTATTCTGAAAACGATCTTCCAGGACGGCCTCTGAAGCCCTGGCGGCTTGCGCCCGACTTGCGAGTCTTCTCCAAAGGGCCTGACCGCACCCCTCCTCCAGCCTGCGCATCCCTGCTCCCCGGCGGCCTCCATCTGCCCGCCCACCCTCGCAAGAGCCTGTTCTTCCCACTGCTCTGAGCAGAAATAGAGGTCTCCGTAGCCGTGCTCTGGTCTGGATTGAGTGGCTCCAGGGACTGTCCAGCCCAGGGCAATGCTGCGTGATGCTCAGAACCTCAACTGAAATTGGAATCTGGAGGGCCTGTAGGGAACGGGGAACGGTCTCATACTGTACCACTCACAGTCAGTGACCCCAGTCAGGGAAAGACTAATCCTGCATCTCCAACGGGAAGGCGTACGTATCTACTATATGGGTAAGAGGAAGATTTCTTCTTGTCCAGCAACAAGCTCCACCAATGGAAAGTGCTGCAGCTCAGCCAATGAGAAGCCACTTCACCCTGAACTCTAATGAATGTTTTACCCACTAAAGATTTTGTTGTGGACCCTACTTTCTATAAAAGCTTTCCATTTTTTGCCCTGGCTAGTGTGGCTCGGTGGATTGAGTGTCAGCATGCAAACCAAAAGACCTCCAGTTCTGTTCTCAGTTGGGGCACATGCCTGGGTTGTGGGCCAGGTGCCCAGTAGGGGGCGTGTGAGGGGCAGCCAATTGACGTTTCTCTTTCTTCCTCCCTTCTCCTCTCTCTAAAAATAAATAAAATCTTATAAAGAAAAGTTTCCCCATGTTGTATAACAAAATGGGAAATCTGTTTCTGGGAATATCTGAGATATGATGCTGTCAGATTCATGAATCATTTAATAAAGCCAATTAGATCTTTAAATTTACTTATTTGAATGTTGTTTTGCAACAGCTCTGACGCCGCACGGACCTCGATTTTCTCCTCTGTAACGTGGCAAGTTGTAACACCTAACAGCTAGAAGGCTAATATCACGTTTCTCTGAACCACAACTGATAAGAGAAGGACGGACAACTCAGTAGACAAGTGCACAAAAAGTACATGTTGGCAAAAATTTGAAAGGTGCTGGAAAGGGGAACAGGCACGGCGGTGGCAATGAGCCGTACCGCAGCTTCTCAGAGAATAATTCGGTGCTAAGTGTTAAAATTTTAAATGCACATTAGCCTAGAAACCCATCTAGCCCCTGGAAGCAGAAGTACCAGAACACAAAGATACTCATACAAAGTACTTATCGCAGTACTATTTACAATGGCACGAAACAAAAACCCGAGGGCCCATCAACATGCCCACGATGGAGGAGATATCTGGACGCTGCCGCCTGGAGCTCTAGCCATTGACTGAAGAGCTAGCTAATTCCAGAGGAACTCGGATGGAAAGGGAAAAACAAAGACCTAAGGGTCCGTTTCTGGTCTTCCAAAAAGCCCTAGTGACTTGGAATACTTCTTTCCAGCCCCTTCTTGCCTGTAATGTCTCTTTTGAGACATCCGCTGACAGTCTGATGGGCACTCCTTTGTAGGTGACTGTCCCCTTAGCTCTTGCTGCTTCTAGAATTCTCTTTCATTTTAATCTTGGCTAATATAATGATGATGTGCCTTGGTGTGTTCCTTCTTGGGTCCAACTTCTTTGGGACTCTCTGAGCTTCCTGGATTTCCTGGAAGTCTATTTCCTTTGCCAGATTGGGGAAATTCTCCTTTATTATTTGTTCAAATAAGTGTTCCATTCGTGGCTGCTCCTCTTCCCCTTCTGGTACCCCTATAATTCGGATGTTGGAGCATTTAAAGATGTCCTGAAGGTTCCTAAGCCTCTCCTCATTTTTTAAAATTGTTTCTTCATCCTTTTCTGTTTGGTCATTTTTTTCTTCTTTCTGGTCCACTCCCTTGATTTGAATCCCAGTTTCCTTTCCATAACTATTGGTTTCCTGTGCATTTCCCGTCATTTCAATTAGTTTAGCCTTCATATGTTCCTCAAATTTGTGACTAAAATCAACCTGTTCTGTGAGCATCCTGATCAAAGACCTACAACCAAATTGCTCTGCCCAGCAAAGCTTTCATTTAGAATGGAAGGACAGATAAAGTGCTTCTCAGATAAGATCAAATTCAAGGAGTTCATCATCACCAAGCCCTTATTATGTGAAATGTTAAAGGGAACTATCCAAGAAAATGAAGATAAAAATTATGAACAGTGAAAGAACAGCAAACTCACAGTTATTAACAACTGCAACTAAAACAAAAGCAAATTAAGAGGACAGCAAGATCAGGAGTGAACCATAGAACTGAAGCTCACATGGAGGGTTAGCAACAGGGGAGTGGGAGGAGGAGAAGGGGGGAGAAGGTACAGAAAATAAGTAGCATAGATGGTAGGTAGAAAACAGATAGGGGGAAGGGCAAGAATAGTATGGGAAATATAGAATCTAAAGAACTTGAGACACATGGTCATAAACTAAAGGGGGGAATGGTGGGGGAGGGGTGTGCAGGGTGGAGGGGAATGAAGGGGGGAATGGGGCAAGCATAATAGCATAATCAATAAAATATATATATTTTAAAAGCCCCAGTGAGAAGACAGAGAGAGACAAGTTAGCAGTTAACAGCTCCCTGGTGCGAGGGCGGAGGTTGCGCTGTGGCTTTCATGCACATGACATCTTTTCCCCAAAAGATGCGCCTCCCAGATGGACATGCTTTGGCACCGGGTCCAACTCACCCTGCGGGAGGGCAGGGGGGAGCTGGACTCAGGGCATTCCGGCCTGGGCGCGCACAAAAACAACGAGGGTTTACAGGCTGAAAGGGCTTAATACATAGGTACTCGACAGGCATTCCGGGGGCTCCCGCCCACCCTTGGCTCCACTCCCCATCACTCTTCACTCTGCGTCCATGAAGCGGCAAAGCCAGATGGAGGTCAACAGGTACGCTGGAGGCAAAAGCCGCCACGCAGGAGGACTACAACTCCCAGCATACTCCACGCTGCCCACCCCCGTTCCCAGAAGGCCGCGGGGGCCCTCTCGCCCAGTCAAAAGCGGCGCGTTTGGGACTTGTTTTTCAGCCGCTGCCAACCGCCGGATTTGAATCGCGGCGCAGCTACCTGGCGCCGGTGTGGTGGCGGTGAGATGGGCGCCCCGTCGTTGCCGGAGGCCTGGAAGCCCTACCTCAAGGACCACCGCCTCGCTACGTTCAAGAACTGGCCCTTCTTGGAGGGCTGCGCCTGCACCCCGGAACAGGTGAGACCGAGGGGCCTCGCGGGTCCCGCGCCAGAGCTTCCGACCCAGGCCTCGGCTCTTCCGTGGGCTCCCGAGCCGGGGCCGCGCCCCGCCCGAGTCTGAGCCGTGCTCTCCCTCGCAGATGGCTGCGGCCGGCTTCATCCATTGCCCCACTGAGAACGAGCCCGACTTGGCCCAGTGTTTCTTGTGCTTCAAGGAGCTGGAAGGCTGGGAGCCAGACGACGACCCCTTGTGAGTACCCCTAGCCAGCCTGGCTAGGCCCCTGAGTGCCCGGCTGCATCCGGGGCTTCTGTTTTGAGCTGTGCTCGGGAAAAGGATTTGAATTTCGAAGACCCTTAGTGAAGGAGAAGCGGTTTTCCGACCTCATTTTGGGCCCTGAACAGCTGTTGCGAGTGTCCGAACACTTGTGCGCTGGCGGCTGGGTGATGGTTTCAGCCTTGTCCTCTGATTTGGCCAAATGTCCTTGGGGGCACGTTGAAGAGGGGCTCATTCCTGTAGGCACTGGGTGCCTTTCAGGGTCGACAGAACCTGGGAGCGGATCGTGTTGTGACCTAGGGACGTGTAGGTGCCTTTCTTGTTGCACAGTTTTTAAATCCGAAGCATTGTTGATCACTCACAACCACAAAAAAACTCTTTAACCCTGTAGAGGTCGAGGTAAAAAAAATTGCAGCGTTGGGCACCTGCATCCATCTGAAAAATACATCCATTACTAATATACATCCATTACTAATGCCGAAATGCGAAAAAAAATTTAAAACACTGCGAATTTGCATTTGTTGTATTTATGTAATAAAATACTTGATTTTTTGGTTTTCACTTATAGTCTGGAAATTATTATACAAAGAAATATGAAAATATTTCTTTGTATAATAGAAATCTTGTGTGAAACAATCAGTTGCCTCTTGCACGCCCCCTACTGGGGACCCGGCCTGCACCCCAGGCATGTGCCCTGGCTGGGAATTGAACCCACCACCCTCTGGTTGGTTCTCAGGCCAGGGCTGAGCCACACCAGCCAGGGCTGCAAAAATATTTTGATAAGCGACTCGTTTTGGATGCACAGTACTGAACACCTCCTTTTCTCTTCCTGCCTGTTGAGGGAGCCGTATCTATGCCATGGTTAGAATTTCCTTCCATTTGAGTTTGAAATCGATGGACTTTGGGTGTGAAGCCTTGTATATACTTGTAGAGATTTCCTAACACTTTTTTGCGTTCTGACACTAACTGCATTATGGGGTCACCGGTAACTATTCTGCGCCCTGTTTTGACGTTGCTGCTCAGCATGTGCGTAGCCTGAGCGTTTATTTCTGCCGCGTTTGGAACCGTGTGGGAGACAACCCCGGGCCACCTCCTGGTGCTCCTGGCCGCCTCCTACGTCCCTGTCGTCTGGTCCGCAGTGTCAGCTCCTGACTTGGCTGGGTTGTGATATTCTATTTTGTCAGGCTTTCGCGAATCTAAATTTCCAGAGTCATCAAAATGCCGTTAATTACGTTTTTTCCCTTTTGGGATGTATGAGATACAAGGGTGCAGTATGCACCAAAGCCTGTTTTTATTTTTTTAAAAGACTTTATTTATTTATCTTTAGAGGGGAAGGGAAGGAGAGAAGGAGAGAAATATCAATGTGGTTGCCTCTCGTGAATCCCCCGCTGGGAACTGGCCTGCAACCCAGGCATGTGCCCTGACTGGGAATCGAACCGCCATTATGGTTCGCAGGCCAACGCTCAACCCACTGAGCTACACCAGCCAGGGCCAAAGCCTATTTTTAGAAGACACCAGTTCAGGGCATTGTTGGGGTTTCTTCGTACAAGCAGTGCCTATGTGAGAAAGTCGCTTCTTTTTCGAGTCAGAGATGAGGTTCACATCAGTGAACCAGGTACCTGTCGTTCTGTTACGTCCTGACACATTCCAACGAGCACACGGGTCTGCTCGTGCATCCGCTGGCTCGTTTCCGGTCCAGTGAGGGCCCGGGCTGCTTGCCGGCGTAGACTTCCAGATCTCCTGTGTAAAATACTTTTGAGTCTTCCATAGCAATAATTTTTATGCCATAGATGGGATATGTTTTCTAAACCCACATCTGCCTTGAAACCCAGGTAACATTGGGTCCACTGGTACCTTCTGCCCCCCAGAGTGACATGATTTACAGTTTTCTACAAATGCTGAAAACTGTCTCTCATAGCCGCTTATTTGGCCGTTTTCTGGTGTTTGTTCTAAGTGGGTAACTTTGCATCAAACCCGATACAATTATGAATACATGGAAGTCTCCATAGAGATATGGTAAGTCCAAGTTCAGCCCCCACCACCCGTAGCCCCTAACACCTGCCGGTCGGCTGAGCCACCCGCCTCGCTGTAAAGCAGCTCCATGTGAAAGGCCTGCGGGGGCCTGCGGTTCAGGTTGGTCTGTGTAGAGCATCGTTCTCATGAAGACCGGCCCGAGGCAGAACCGATGTATTTATTTATGCTAATAAATTAGATCTGAAATGTTATTAATGATAAAGAAGTTCCAAGTTTTTGGCATTTTTTTGCATTTGGCTGAACTAATGTAAGTTGACACAAAATATCCTGTGGCTGTTTTCTAATTTGCCTTCTTGGGTCTTTCCTCCATTTTGATTCTTTATCCAAAAATATACTCTTCCTTCACGTCTAATTCGTCTTCACTTTCTTCACTGGCGACGTCTTGCTCGGTGTCCGAATCTCCTGGACGAACTTTCACGTCCTCGTCGTCTTCTTCTGAGTCACTTTCATTTTCGTGTCTGACTCATTCATTCCCTTGTTGGGCGGGAATAGCATTCGCTGAAGTTCTTCCACGTCTCTTGGATCATCCACTTGATACATTTTTCCAGCCATTTTCAGTGGCAAATGGAAAAAAAAAACCACAATACTGACTTCAAAGTAGACACACACACACACATACACACACACCCCCAAACAAAAACCAGCTGCAGCAACACCAACCTCGTGGGATCTCATGCAGTTCACTGGTGAACACCACACCCCCTACAAGTCACACGTTATAACCAAATGGATGGCTTACACATCATGGCTTGACATTAGTCACATGCAGACACACAGCAAGTCATGACTTTGAACCTGTGCACCCGATATAGGCACCAGTGTTTCAGAAAAGAGTCTGTATCTCTCAGATCAGCTGCGACCCCCGATGGTTGAAGTGGTCCGCCTCCCTGGCGTTTCCGGTTTTGCTCTGTAAGGCCCGGAGTTCTGTGTGTGCACGGACTGAGGGAGAGTGTGGCGGCTGTCCGTCTGCCATGCGATGCCACATTTTTTTACCACCTTTCCCCCATCAGAACCGATCATGTGTACAACTTTACTTTTGTTTTTCTGTAGAGACTCAACCGAGTGGTTTCTTGCCATGGGCAGGACATGTGTTGGCCCTGGCGGTGAGCGTGCCAAGGCTCCCGGGGAGAGTACCGGTGGTGGTGTCCCTAAATGTTGGCTTACTTGCAGATTTTTTTAAAACTTTTTTTATTGATTATGCCATTACATTTGTTCTATTTCCCCTCCTCTGTTCCCCTCCACCCTGCACACTCCTCCCCCACCATTCTCCCCCCTTTAGTTCATGAACACGTGTCTCAGGTTCTTTAGATTCTGTATTTCCCCTACTGTTCTTACCCTCCCCCTGTCTATTTTCTATTTACTGTCTATGCTGCTTATTCTCTATACCTTCTCCCCCTTCTCCATCTCCCACTCCCCTGTTGCTAACTCTCTACATGATCTTTATTTCTATGGTTCACTCCTGATCTAGCTGTCCTCTTAGTTTTCTTTCGTTTTAGGTGTGGTTGTTAATAACTGTGAGTTTGCTGTCCTTTCACTGTTCACCTTTTTTATCTTCTTTTTCTTAGGTAAGTCCCTTTAACATTTCATATAGTAAGGGCTTGGTGATGATGAACTCCTTGAATTTGATCTTATCTGAGAAGCACTTTATCTGTCCTTCCATTCTAAATGAAAACTTTGCTGGATAGAGCAATCTTGGTTGTAGGTCTTTGGATTTCATGACTTGGAATACTTCTTTCCAGCCCCTTCTTGCCTGTAAGGTCTCTTTTGAGAAATCCGCTGACAGTCTGATGGGCACTCCTTTGTAGGTGACTGTCCCCTTATCTCTTGCTGCTTCTAGAATTCTCTTTCATTTTAATCTTGGCTAATGTAATTATGATGTGCCTTGGTGTGTTCCTTCTTGGGTCCAACTTCTTTGGGACTCTCTGAGCTTCCTGGATTTCCTGGAAGTCTATTTCCTTTGCCAGATTGGGGAAACTCTCCTTTATTATTTGTTCAAATAAGTGTTCCACTCGTGGCTGTTTCTCTTCCCCTTCTGGTACCCCTATAATTCAGATGTTGGAGCATTTAAAGATGTCCTGGAGGTTCCTAAGCCTCTCCTCATTTTTTGAGTTCTTGTTTCTTCATCCTTTTCTGTTTGGTCATTTTTTTCCTCTTTCTGGTCCACTCCTTTGATTTGAGTCCCAGTTTCCTTTCCATAACTGTTGGTTTCCTGTGCGTTTCCATTCATTTCAATTAGTTTAGCCTTCATATATTTCTCTAATTTGTGGCTATAATCAACCAGTTCTGTGAGGATCCTGATCACCAGTGTTTTGAACTGTGCATCTGAAAGTTTGGCTATTTCTACATGGCTTAGATTTATCGGCTCTGGGGCTCTGAGTTGTTCTTGAGCCATGTTTTGATCTGTTCGTGCCTGTTATATAGGAGGAGAGAGACACCTTGGTGTTTACCGGGGCGTGGCCACCCAGGTCACTGGTTTGTGATGCTGTATGTGGGGGCGGGGTCAGAGAGGGAGCAATGGCGGTCCTCTCCGCTCGCCCAGTCCGCCTCACCGCTCGCCCCCCCCCGGCCCGTTTATCTGAGCAAAAATGTGCGAGTCTGCCGCCCTGCGCCAGTCGCTGGGGCCTGCGAGATCTGTCTCAACGCTCGCCTCTTCACAGGTTTATCTGCGTGCAAATGCGCGACCTACTGCAGACAGCTAGCAGCGCCTCTTCCCTGGGTTCTGCCCGTAGCTAGCTCGCACCTGGCATCTCACCTGGCATCCGTGCCAGGGCTGCTTGTGCACCGCCCGGATCTTTTTTGCCCGACTGGCTCCGCTCTCACACCGGTTTAGCTGAGTGGTCCATTGTTTCCGGACTCCGTATTCGATTTTCTGCGTGGTTTGGTTGTGTTTGTTGTTAAAACTTTGTTGTTTTTAGATTTGGTTGAGCGAGGACGCAAGGTATTCCCACCTACACCTCCATCTTGGTGGAAGTCCCCTTACTCGCAGATTCTAATTCCTGTTGGCCGTCGCCACGGACCTCGTGTCGCGGTGTGTCCATCCTGGCGCTGTGCCGGTTCAGTGCTGGGAGCTCCGCAGAGCTAATTCCCCAGGCAGGAAACGAGGGTGCGGGCCAGAGGGCTGTCCTCATCCAAACCAGCAGATTATGTGACAAGGCCAGTGGAATGAGACTGCTTCCAGCTGTCCCTTGCGGGTCTTAGGGGGGACCTGACTGTGACGGCTCTGGACTGCAGTGTGGAGCACTCTCCCCACTCCCGGCTGAAGGGCTGCAGGCAGTGAACGTCGGCACAAGGACTGGGGGGCGGCATCCACAGAGGGGGTGCTTGGACCGGCCGTAGGGGAAGGTGGCCTGGCACCCGGCACTGGTTCGATCCGCTTCGGGCCTCACTTTGCTCTGGCCACCGGCAGGGTGTCCGGGAGGGAGATGGGACGGGCGGGGGCCCTGAGACGCACTGCTGCCCCCTCCCTTTACCAGTGCTCCCGTCCATGTGTCCTGTGCTGGCTTTTCCAGGGCGGAGCATGAAAAGCACTCGCCTGGCTGTGCCTTCCTGTCTCTGAAGAAGGCTTGTGAAGAATTAACCCTCGGGGAGTTCTTGAAACTGGACAAGGAAAGAGCCAAGAACAAAATTGTACGTATGATTTGCAGTAAGAGTCCAGAGTCAACCCCTCTTGGGGTCTTTAACCCTGACCTTCCCAGCCCCTCACATGCCCGGGTTTCCGACGATGCTCAGCTGCGGGTGTGCGGGCGCACAAGGGCATGGTCATGCCCTCAGCAAAGGTGTCTGCAGTGGGGGTGCCCTCTGCCGGTGGCACAGTCCAGATGGGAAGTGGGTGTTGTGTAATGGGGGGCGGAACAGAGGGGTAGGGGCACCTGGCAGAGCGTGCACTGGGGAAAAGGCGCTGGTCCCACTGGAACTTGAGGGGGCTTCTGCAGGTGACGTGGAGTCTGGGGTGGGCAGCCAGGGTAACCGGGAGATCAGGAGAGTGAAGCTCTGAGCCGGCGGTCACAGAGGGGAGGGGTTGCCAGGAAAGCCTGACTTCCGGTGCCCACGCGTGATCATTGAGGGCTGCTCACGTTTCGGTGGGTGGTCCGTAAGAAGTGACTCACGCGTGCGAGGGTGAGACTTCACTGGGTGCCCTCTGCTCTTCTCCGCTCGCCTGGCAGCCCTGCAGAGGACCGTGGGGGCGTTTGGTAGCCTTGCAGCACAGCTCCGCGGGCTGTCCTGTGTCCCGGTCGTTTCCATCTCTCGCAGGCCCAGCTCGGGCAGTGCTGTCTGCTCACAGGAGGGCCGTGGTGGGGGGCTGGGGAGGCCCTGGACCGCTGCCGCGGCCGAGTGCGTAGGCCATGCGGTCCCTGTGAGACAGTGTTGTCTCTGGGTTTTGTTTCTCACAACTGTTTACAAAGATAAAGACCCGAAGACTGTGCAGTTAACAGGCCGGGGATTGGCCAGCAGCATGGCCGGGGACGGCTGCCCGGCTCTAAGTGAGGAACGCCCCATGTGGGTTGGGGAGCAGCTGGGAGAAAGTGGGCAGAGTGGACAGAGGGCGCTGGGGGCGTGGCCAGCGAGGCCGAGAAGGACAAAGCAGATGCTGTGGTCGCGCCCAACAGGGAGACACTTGGCTGGGACAGTCCCAAGCGGCGCCCGAGTGCTCAGGGACCCTGTGGTCCAGCGGAAGCAGTCGGGCAGCCTGCCAGGGAGGAAGCCCACCGGGGTGCCGTCTGCATCTGCCACGTGGCCAGCGGTCACTCAGCAACTGGTTTTTGTCCCCCTGGAGCCTGAGTCAGGATACTTAAAACAATGCATGAGTTTTTATTTGTTCAGTTACAAACGAACAGCATAGGCTTCTATAGGGTATATTTCCTTCCAGATCACTTAAAAATTTATACATTTTAAAGAAGAGTAGAAAGGTTAAGCTATTCATACCTAATTGGTTTATGAAACTTATGCAACAGGAAGGTTTTTTCTGTGTCCATGGCCCTCGCTCAGCCGCACCATTGGGAGGTCCTTGTGCCGGGCCGGCCGGCAGCGCGGCCCACGGGGTCTCGGTCACGGTCTCTGAAGCGGAGCTCCAGCCGCACTGCTGCTCCAGGCGGTGCTCCTCTGGGCGGAAAGTTCTGCTGGACAGGGCAGCCCGTTGTGAGTGCGAATAACTTGTCACTGATACAGAGCAGGTCCCCTGGTGTCCCCATGTGACTGGATGGTGAAGGCTGGGGTCAGAGTGGTGTCGAGACAGGTGTGACCGGGGGCCTGTCCGCATCACACTCAGCCCTGGGGCCGTCTGGGGACCTGGCTCCTTGAGGTGGGCTGGCCAGCGAGTCCGTCTCTTCTGTAGGGTGACGGGGGCAGGAACTGCTACTGGGAACCGTGTGTTAAGTCAGCCATGTAAGGGCGCCACACAGTGCGAGACTCCCGTGGGTCAGATGCTCTGTTACGAGACGAAGCCACAGGGCAGCCCCTGGAGATGGGACCGTGCACTCGTCACGGCGCTGTGCACCTCTCAGGCCCCCAGACCCACCTGTGAGGGCTGCTGTGGTGGGCGTGCCAGGGCGGCCGGGGGCTCGACTCCTGCAGCCGCACCGCTGCGTCTGTGGTGGGGGGAAAGGTGGGGTGAGTTAGAACCACGGTGAACCTAGGTCCACCCCCGGGAGGAAACTCCGTCTGGGAGCCAGTGGGGGCCCCCTCTGTGTGAGTCCCGCTTGGTGAGCAGCGCCATCAGAGCACGGCGGGGGTGGGCGGCTGGCACGGGTTCGCTGGCAGGTTTTCTTGTTCCCAACACCGAGTTTCTTGGGCTTTTTACCCCCACCCCCTCTTTTGGAAAAGTGCGAAAGGAAGCTGCTGCCCTCCGCATTGCGGCGGCGCAACAGGTACGGCCCACCCCGCAGGCGCGGGGTCTCCTTGGCTCGGCCGGTGGGTGTGTTGCCAGGCCCCCTCCCCCATCCATCGGGTGCTGCCGTCTCGCAGTCCTGTCAGTGTGACATCTTTACAACAAAAAAGTACGTGTTGAAAGTAACCTTTACAACGGTAGCCTTTATGGTTTTTCTTCTTAGGAAACATTTACCCTGAGAAAGTTGTTGGTTTTCAGAGTGACAGGCATGGAGGAGGATGGACCCGAGGCAGGAGGGTCCCTGGTTGGCTGGCCCACCGCCCTTGGCCCGCCCTCCCCTCCCTCTCCTGGGCGCAGCGGAGTGGTCCTGGGGGCTGGATTTAGGGAAGGCTGGAGGCCGAGGTTTGTGTCTCAGGAGAAAGCTAATGTTGACAGCCTCCCCTCCCCTGGGTGGGGCGGGGCTTGGGCCCTTCCTGGGGGAGCTCGGACACAGCTGGGACACAGCTCGGACGCCAGCAGGGTGACGGTGACCGCCAGCAGGGTGACGGTGACCGGAAGGCAAGGTTCTGCCAGGTTAGCTGGGTGACCCAGCCACGAGCCGTTCTGGGCCCCAGTCTCCCTGGTCTTATCAACCAGCCTGTGATTCGAAAGCTGTTGTTTCAATTTCACGAGTCTGTTATTTATTTCCAGGCAAAGGAGGCCACCAGTAAGCAGAAAGAATTTGAAGAAACTGCAAAGCAGGTCCGCCGCGCCATTGAGCAGCTGGGGGCCCGGAAGTGAGGCCCCGCCCACCCTCCTCCACTGTGGGCCCTGCGCAGGCTCGTCCCGGCTCGGCCCTGCCCTGCCCTCACGGCGCCTTAGGCGAGGAGAACCTCACAACTTTGAAATGAGAATATTTAAACTGTATTTTTTTTCTCTTGGAAGTGGGGCCACAGGCTACTTCTGTCTTTGCCTCTGGTGTCACTGAGTCTGGTGACTGATCCCTTTCCCTCCGGAGTTTTTGCGTCGTCCGTCCTGGATGCAGCCAGGGTGGAAGGCGAGAAGCTCAGTCACGTGGGCAGAGTCCTCCCTGGGGAAGGGGCAGGCCTCCCATTGCCTGGCCGTGGCGTCGGAGACCCGGTGTGAATGCAATCATAGGTCCGTTGTTCCTGGACGAACAGAGAATTAAGGTGCCATTTAAAGTGTCATTTGCATAATCTGAGATTACTGTGTGTGCTTCTTGTGTCCCCTGTGCTCTGTAGGATGTCACTTCCACAGGCCCGCAGCACCCTGGCCTGCCAGGCCTCTGCCATGCGCGCGCGGGAAGGGCTCTCCTTGCCTGTTCCATCACTTTGTGGTCTTCAGGGCCTCGAGGGACAGCTGGTGGCACTGAGCCCAGGCTACCTCTGGACTGTACAGGGGGGCCCTGCCCACGACTGAGGGCCGAGTGGCCGGGAGGAACAGAGCAGGCTGGTGTCCTGGGCGAAGCCGGCCTCTGGGTTTGAAGTTTGTTGGAGACCCTTCACCGCCACTGGGTGCTGGGCAGGGTCACAGCGTTGCCAGGTCCTGGCGCGGTGCTTCGGCCCCCCCCGTGGTCGGAAGGGGGCGGCTTCTTCCAGGGAGTCCTGCCCTGGGGGGCTGCCACCCGCGGGCGGGGTGGGCAGTGGTGGGAGGAGACCCACAAGAGGGGCTCCTGGTCTCATATTCCCAGAGCTCTGCAAGCAGGTCTTTCCCCCTCATCGCGCGGGGCAGGCGGCCGATACCTCACCTGTCTTTCTATATGAATCTTCCTAAAGTAGGACATGGAATAAATTAATTTAAAAGTTGTATTGAAAAACTTTTTGAAAAAAAGTTTAAAAACAATGTTTTCTTGTTTGCACCCTTACAAGATCATAAACTCAGTGATACTTGGGTCCCAACCCTGGCGTGGGCTGGGCAGAGGGTCTGGGTGGCTGTGGCGGGAAGGCTGGTCCCGGCCGCCCCCCGGCCTGCCTGCCCTGGCTGACTCGGCCACAGTCTCACCATCAAGCACACGGGGGTCACAAAGCCGCAGCTGGCTTTTCTTACTGTAGGTGCATGATTTTTATGTGATGGGGAAGGGGACTGAGATGAAGCCCCTCGGCCCTCCAATGCTCTCAAGGCCATCTTCCTGGGTGGTTCAAGTTTCCCAGATCAGCACCAGCCAGCACCGTGTGAGCACGCGGCCCTTCTAAGCAATGGGGGAGGCCAACGTGAACTTGAGGTGGGTTTGGACAGAAAGCAACGTAGCGGGAAGTACCATCCAGCTGAAACGGTCTCCTATGAGGGTGCTACGCGATTCGCCAGCCCAGTGCGTCGCAGGGCGTGCACTGGCCACTCCCTCTGCAGAATGAGTGGCGGCTGCTTTCTCTCTAAGTGACTCGGCCCAGAGCTGAGGGGACTGGGGGCTGCTACAGGCATGCCAGCACAATTGGCCCCATCTTCATCGCAGCAACACCCTCCACATCTGGCCCCACCCCATGTCCCCCATGCTCCCCTGGTGGCTCGCACAGGGCTGTGTCCTGAGGGGAAGGTGATAGTCCGGCCTCAGCCGCCTGCGTGGGGTTAGGCTGCAGCCCGTCACCTGCCCCCCGCCCGATGCGTGCACCGATGGGCAGCCGCAGGCGTTGCACGCTGAGAGCAGCAGCAGCCAGCCGCTGCCCGCGGTGGGCGGCCCCTTGGGGTGCGGACGGGCTTTGTAGGCTGTACCCAAAGAAACAGCTCACAGCAGCTGATGATGTGAGTTTTCCAAGCCGTGGTTCTGGTGCAGAAATGGAGACACGAAGAGGGGCAAGAGGCAGTCCACGGTCACACAAACCAGTAAGAATTAGGGTTGGGATGTGACCCAGGCTGCGCGGCCGTGGTCGTGGTCAGCTGCCTGACTGGTTTCCGCTGAGCCTCACAGAGCGACCCCTCCCTGTTCTAGGTTGAGCTAACCCACCAAACAAAGAGATAGTGCGATGGGGGGTTGGGGGGTTCCATGTCCTCTGCGCCCAGCTTTCCCCGCCGTAACTGGTCCACCGTCCACACTCGCTTTTCAGTGTGCAAGGTCTGTGCCCAGGCCAGAGCAAGGGGCTGACTGCTCGGGGCCGGGGCGGAGGGTGGAGGATCCCTTGTCCCGCCCTGGGCCAGCTCGCTCTGAAGCCGGGGAGCCCCGTGTACCATCTGAGCCGGTTTCAGCCAGCTGTGACCACACCGAGGCCCTGGCTGCTGGGGCTGTTTCCCACCTGACCCCTGGGGGTGACGTTTTCACATTGGTTGGCTCACATTTCTGCTTGAGCACCTACTGTGCACCAGTCACTGGGTCTAGTAACCAAAGTGCAAAGAGGGCTCACAGCCAGCCGCGTGTCCTGGAGCGTGGGGAGGCAAAGGCCCACAACGGCCCCGAGTGTGGCGCATGTCCGCAGGGGCCCCACAGCCATGCTGAACTCTGCCTTGGCTGAAAGCAGGAGGGACCTGAGCGTCCATTCATCCTCTCCCCCACAGAGGTGCACGGCTCTGCGGCCCGTGGGCTTCCCACAGCACCGTCACTGGCCCTGCAGCTGAGTCCGGCTTTGCGTGAGCTTCCTGGGGCACAGAGGAGACCTTTGCAGGCAGCTCAGGTCGGGAGGTGGGAGGGCGCTTGGAGCAAGTGTGGGAGCGTGCCACCCAAGCAGGAGCTTCCCCACAGTGCCTCTGGGGTCACACCCGAACACTCAGGGAGGGGTTCACCCCACTCAGGCCATGTCGACCCTGGTCACGTGGGTGAGTGTGGGGGCCCTTATCTGCCTTCTCCCTGCAGGAGGTGACAGCTCCCCTACAGAAGCCCTGCCCCTCCCTGCCCTCTGACCCCCTCACCCCCTGCCTCTCCTGCTTTTCAGAGGCTTTTCCCAGCCTGCCTGCCGGGCTCTCTCCTCTCGCAGTCCCAGGGCCCCTGGGACAGGGGCCTCTCTCTGCCGCCGTCGCCCGAGCAGGGGGCCAGGGGCATGGCTGGGAGGCCCGGGGGCTGCGCTATGGCCACAGTGGGGAAGCCCCAACCCGGCCTGCGTGGAAAGGTGGGCGGCCTGCACAAAACACCAGCCCTCCCCGCTGCCCGGTCTGAGTGCGGTTTGAAGTATTGCTCCAGTAGTTTCACTGCGATTGTTTCCACGGGCCGTCCCTCAAACCTGAGGAGCCCGGGTAGAGAAGGGGCTGAAATGAAAGCCTTGGGGTGACCCCACATCATGGAGCTGCTTTGTCTAGGGAGAGCCCCCTTCAGGGAAGACGAGGAGGTCAGCCTTATGACCCCGTCTCCTCAGGGTCTGTGCAACCCCTCCCACGTGAGGACCAGTCCAGGGCCCGACACTGAAGCCTAGACAGCCCCCACCTGAGGGCTGTGGCCTGTCCCTCCGCCCACATCCCACCTGCTCCAGGGTTGGCTCTTCCTGGTTCCTCCGCCAGCCACGCCCCCTGGGCACGTGACACCATCCGGGACTGGCTCCCAGCGTGTTTGCTGAGTGGGCAGTGGACAGGCAGAGGCCGGCCTTGCCCACACCCCACTTGGCCTTTGCGACCAGCAGCTAAGCAGGACTTCCTGCTGCAGCCCTCTCTCCAGCCGCCCCCTGGCTCCCCACCCCACCCCCAACTGGCCCCTCTGGCGGCCCAGGCGGCTCCAGCTCCCAGGACAGCGACCTGAGGCCTCAGGCCCCTGAAAGCCCAGGGTAAGAGGGATGGCGACACCTGCGGAGGACTCCCGCTAGCCCCCTGCTGCGTGGGGAAGCTGGGACTTGAACCCAGGCCTGCCTCACGTCCTCCGGACCCCAGGGCTCCGCTGGCGATAGCAGAGGGGTGGGATCCATTTCCCTGTGAGCCCAAAGGGCACAGCGAGCTTGGCAAGCGAGCAGCGCACAGGCAGGACAGGGCATTGCACCCAGCGGAGCCTCCGAGGCGCTCAGCAGTGTCCTGCTTGCAGCAGCCCGGGCCCTCAGCCTGAGCCGGCAGCCTGGTGCCCACCACTCTGTAGCCATCTGAGTCCTAGGCAGGCAGGTGGGGGGTCAGGGAGGGGCTCAGTTTCTCTTTGCATCCTGGGATTGGGCACCCCAGTTCTGCAGGCTTGGCAGGAGTCCTGGCTGGGAGGGGCCCTGGGGGTGGGCGGGACGCCGGGGCAAGAACCCAGGCTGCTCTTGCTGGGCAAAGCCAGATGCTGGGGGCTCCCTGCCCTGTTGGTCCTCTAGGGCCACCTGCAGAGACAAGAAAGTGAGTCCCGGCCCTGGCTGGTGTGGCTCAATGGATTGAGCGTGGGCCTGTGAAGAAAAGGGTCCCCGGTTCGATTCCCAGTCAGGGCACATGCCTGGGTTGCAGGCCAGGTCCCCAGTGGGGGACACATGAGAGGCAACCACACATTGATGTTTCTCTCCCTCTCTTTCTCCTTCCTATCCCCTCTCTCTAAAAATAAATAAATAAAGTATTTTTTAAAAAAAAGAAAGTGAGTCCCAAAGAGGAAGAAGGTGCTGGAGCGGGTTACAGTGGAGCAGGACGGGGTGCTCGGTGTCCCCTGGATTCGGGACATGGCTTGCATTCAGCCCTCTGCCTTCAGTCCCAAAATGCCACAGCTGTCCCCATTCCTGGGGACCTGGGTCAGGGGGAGAAGCTACCCCTGTCTTGGGGAGGGGGAGGCGGAGAGAGAGAGGCAGGTACATCTGTGAAGTACCCACCGTGCTGGGCGTGCTGGGTGCTGGGTGCTGTCTGCTACCGGCCCATCGCTGGCCAGTTGCCTTAACAGAGCTCACCGCTCACCCATTTCACAGAAGTGGAGACCAGGGCTTGCGTCACCCTGGAGCAAAGGGCCAGATGCCTTCGCTGGCTGGTGGGGCTCCCAGGCCTCTGTTCCGTCCACTCGCCCCCAGTGGTGGGCATTGTGTGGGGAGATGGTGGGCCCGAGAGCACCCTCGATCAGCAGTGCAGGCGAGCGGAGGGAGGGAGCAAGTGAGAAGGCTGCACACACCATGGCTTGTCCCTTGTTTTCAAGCCTCCATTCTCGTCCTGGAGTGGCTGCTGCTCCTCGCAGCCTCCCAGGACCCGACCATCCCATCTGCGGCTCTCCGGGGAAGGGCCGCAGTCGCCAGGGGCCCTTGGGCGCCCTGCGCAGGCACGTGTGGGAGTCCTATGGCGGGGCAGGAGTCCTATAGCGGGGCGGGAGCCCGGGCGGCCTGGGTGGGGCCCGGCACCTGGCTGCAGGCTTACTGA